GGCATGCAGTTCGTTATTGACGATGCCAAGAAGAAGAACCGCGTTGGCAAGGCTGTTATGAACATGTCTCTTGGTGGTGACTTCTCTCAAGCCATCAACCGTGCTATCGAGGCTCTCTTCAATGCTGGCGTTGTCCCTGTTGTTGCTGCCGGTAACGAGAACGTAAGTGATCAACTATCTGATATGATTTGTAACCTAACTGACTATGTCTATAGCGTGAGACTGCCCTTACTTCTCCTGGCTCTGCCCCCAACGCCATTACTGTCGGTGCTATTGATGCCACTACCGATGAGCGTGCTGATTTCTCCAACTTTGGCCCCGAGGTCGACGTCTACGCTCCCGGTGTTAACGTCCTCAGTGTCGGTATTAAGTCAAACACTGACACCGCTACCCTCAGCGGTACCAGCATGGGTATGTTCTCCTTCCCCACCTATCAAGTCAAGTCTCAAACTGACATGTTTCATAGCCTCTCCTCACGTTGCCGGTCTCGCCGCCTACCTCATGGGCTTCCAGCAGCTTGACGGCCCTGCCCAGGTCGCCAGCCTCATCAAGAGCCTCGCTGGACAGACCGGTGCCAAGGTCAAGAACAACGTCCAGGGCACTACCAGCAACATCGCCAACAACGGCAACCAATAGAAGCAGCAACGCAGCAGCAGCATCAATCAGGGAACCCAGGGACAAGGGAAAGTGGAATTTTTCTTATACCACAAAAATATTTCAGGATAATTGGCCACTTGTACAAACCTGAACCATTTATGCCTCGTGTATGTATGGGATATAATTTAGGGTGTCATTTATGAATCATCTCAAGTCATGTGTATCAGGAGTTTTCTTTGAGGCTTGGAATAGCCTTACCGAGCGTGTTTGTTATTATAGATGGTACGTAACAGCATTATAGACCTTCTAGACTACCATTTGCTTCTCGTCAATGCATAAAGTGACAAGTTTGATGTGCGCCACTTGCTGGATTGAGTTCGAAACCAACTAATACAAGAACCTGCCCTCAGGGAGCAAGGAAGCACCAGACCTTAATATAGGGTGTCAAAATAAACCCAGCGAAAGATATCCTAAATTTACCTAAGTCTTTTTGTCATTTAGGATCAAGGTCCCGAGTTTTCTTTCCTCCTATAGCCTGCTAAGATATTGACCATTATCTAGGTCATTTATTGTATTATCATTCCAAACTTATCCTAGTGCCTTCTGAAGATCAAAGGCCAAAGTTTCTGCCATCATCTTGTTAGCCTGTATCTTGACGGCTCAAAATGAGCAGGACGATGTAACCAAAACCCCTGAAAGATGGGCACGTCCGTCGATGAAAGATCGGCCAAGGCATGTCCCGTCGGCAGTGTAACAGCATGTCGCACCAACAGCATCAAAGATGAAACCTTGCCCCGACACATTTCATGCCTTACTAGTAACAGCACGTCCCAAAGGAGCAAGAATCGCCAAACACGGGTCGAATCAGAGATGGGTGAATTTCTACAAGGTTGCATGAAATGTTTGCCCGCCGCCACCAGTCTGTCATCCTCAAACATGTCGAGATAGACTTGTGGCGTGACGTCGCCGTGAGGCGGAAACCAAGAGCAAGGGATATTTAATTTTCGCACTTCTTCGGCACAATCATAGTCATTGAAGGACTCGATTGCAATTTGACATCCGTGCAGGAGTTTGAGTTGGGCATCAAGACAAGAGACAACATCACCAGTGGGTGAACGGGGGACGAAACTTGAACTGCAACGCGCGCTGTATCGCGCCGCTGCAGGTAGTATTAACAAGAGTATAAGCCCAGCAATATGCCGCTGAGCAGGTCCTGTCATATGAGGACCATTGCTAAATGTGGTATGTACGTTAGGATATCGTTAAAAAGGTTCGTGCCGTGAACAAAGCAAAACAAATCGGCGCGCATAATATTACAATTCTTCGTGACCCGTGATCATGGGGGTAGCCTTCTCGCCACCTGGTAGGAACACACTGGCTTCCCTAAAGATGGTGTCGAATCTGGCTCCGAAAATCCAAGCGGTACCGATCTGTGGATCGGGTGTTAGTTGAGTACAACCTTGAAAGTATGGGGCTGGCGTACCATGAGACCAGAAATGCAGACCAGAGCTGCAATGACAACACCAAAGAGAACAAGAGTCTCCCCTCCGTCCATAGTTGGCTCCTTGTTTTGGACCTGGGCCTGAGTCACAGAGAGCTTCTTGGGGTCCTGCTTGGGGAAGAGAGTCTCAATGAATTGCTCAATCTGGAATTTATTAGCGAACGAATATCAGAGATGTTAAAGAGGAAAGCATACCTTTGCACATTGAGCACTGATGGCAAGGAAGTTGGGGTCACGAGGGTCGTTCTTCTTGGCGATTTGCCGGGCATATCGCTTGAAAACTTCACATACTGTGTAGAGGTTTTGTGTGCACTCGAACATGATCTTGCAGGCATCGCCCTTTGTGATCTTGACGTTCCTCTTGAGAACCTCAGGGTTGCGGAAGACAAGCTCCAGTGTCGCAATGGCCATGCCTTGAGGAATAGCAACAAAGTTGAAAACACTCTGGTCCTTGATGCCCGCCATGTAGAACAAACACTCCTCACTGTGCTTCAGCGCATCGAGAACCATCGCTGAAACACACTCGAGGGCTTTTGTTTGCTGGCTGGGGTCGAACATGTCCTCCCACTTGTCGACGTGCTGGCTCCAGATCTCCTTGGGATACCATCTTCGGCCATCTTGCCAATCTTCATGGATATCTCGAATGATGTTGGTCTTCTGGAGGAATTGCGCCATTGACTCGGTGAGAGAAGGACGCTCAGCAAGCTTGGGATTAGCTAGCTCTGACTCAACGAACAGACGCGTTAGGCCTTCGCCAACGAGACCAGCGACGTAATGGCAGTATAGCTCGTACTCTTCAATAGTCTGCACACCGTTCTTGATCATCTCCTCGTTTTGGGCATAGTCAGCCATGCCATTGCCCATCTTGCGAGTCATTTCTTGGATGATTTGGTAGTAAGGGGCCTTGATCTTCTTGAGCTCTGTAACGACCACATCGAAGTGCTCTAGCAGCTCCTTGTCCTTCTCTTGGCTCTCATGGAATTGCCAACCATCTTCTTCCATGGTGATGTGAAAGTTTCGAAGGAGGGGAACCTTCTTATCCAGGGGGATGGTCATGTCATCCTCAATGGTGTCTAGGCCACGGAGGCAGAGGTAGAAGAGAGTGATAGGGACGAGGAGTTCGTGGTTAAGCTCTTGAATGACAGCAGCGAAGCTGCGACTTGTCATATCGAGGTAACGAAAACATTCTTTTAGCTCTGGGGACTCTGTGCTAGGATCGCGCTGGTGGACGGGATCATGCCAGACCTTCCTGGAGCATTGTCAGACAGGTTCGTTTGTTGCAAGGGCCGAAAGGATGTAAACTTACCATTGGATGATCGATCGAAGCTGATAAGGGTGGAAGAGGTAGTAGAGGTAACCCATTTTGGCGGTGGTAGCGTGAGGGGGAAGGAGAAGGTAGAAGTAGAAGCGAAGCGCGCAAGAGCTTGAACTGAAGCAGTGCACGTCTTGATACAGGCGTACAGGGCCAGGGAAACGGGAAGAAGCAAGTGATAAATATCAATTAAGTTGCGACCAGGTCCCGGAAACGTCTTTGGTGTATGTTTTCACCACGAGATGCTTGGAGAGAGGAAAGGCGAGAGAGAGGACAGATGGGAGAAGCAAAATAAGACTGGTTGACCTCCGCTCCGGATAAATCCACAAATTATGCACAGAGCTCAATTTCTCGTCTGGTAGGGTGGGTGCTGCCGACCGATAGGGGCATAAGCGCCGCGTTACATGCATTAACTGTCGTATTCGGATTCGATGACTGGATTGACTTGGTTCCTGAATGTGATTAGACTCTTGTCACACTGCAAGTCATTAATTAATTTCAGGCCTCATTGATTGATCTGCGCTTATGCAACAACTGGGTTGCATCCGGAGGCTGGTTACAGTTGATCGGATCTCGCAGGCTGTCAATCAGCCGGAACTCCGGTTACAACACCGCCTCCGAACAGCAATTTAAATGCCGGTCCGGACGCCGTCCGTGATGGTGTGTGTTCAGAACGAATGATGAGATGAAACATTCAAGCGAGCTGGTCTTACCCCAGGTTTTACCCAAACAATATCCGAGACAGTGAAACATAGCTGATTGTTTCTCTCAACCTGTGGATGTAGTTATCTAGCATTAGTTACACAAGATTCTAGGCTCATGATCGACAGTGTCCTTGTATTTGACGACCTTTGCAAGCTGCTTCCAGATCGCAGAATTGCTGGTCTTGACTCCTATCTCTAGTTACCAAGTCCAAGGTGTTCTAGATCCAAGATCACCATGGACCCTTATGCATGGAGACGATCCGGGCCTCCTGACCGCCCAGCCGGATTTATCCAACGCCGCTAGGAGTGAAAGCAGTCCTGAACGAGATGTGATAATCAAAGCAGAGGAAAGCCCTTAGCCTTGGCGGTTCATTCTCTGCAATTATCCTAATCTGATATATTAGGTCTGAGGCGCTGCCAGCTGAACCTTACACCACCCGGCTTGCAACGACATGCACCGCTCACTGGTCTGAGCTGCTGAGGTGATAAAGATGGTGCATGTCCAAGAGTATCCCAAAAATTGCTATTGTTACAAGCCGAATACTCCAAGTCATGGAAACCCCTTTGTCGTCCGAATACACTGGAAACCTATATCGATCATTGATGGCATACAGTCCGCACAACACGGAAATTATGCCTTCCTATGAAATCTCGAACAAAAGGGTACCGGATCTGTATCCTTTTGGGGGAAAGAACAATAAGAAAGGTCCGAGGCTTGGTTTTGAAGTTGATAACTCTTGGAAGCTCTAGATCTGGATTGTACCCATGCCATACTCTGAGAACAATGTCCACGCAAGTGCATGGTATTAGAGGCTTTTGAAGCTTTCAATAACCTAAAGGAAACATCCATGACTGAGGAACCGGACATAGTGACCTCCAAGTCCACATGAATCATGAAACCAGCGTGGGCGAAGTTGGTAAGTAAGGTACTTAAGGAATGGGTTTTGAGTGCAACAAGAGCATGTTCACTTCTATGTCAAGCTTCCCTAGCTATGGCTGCTGTCATTTTCGCTCAAGTGAAGTACCCAAGGCTAGAATTCCCTTCGCCGATTCATCTCCTTTGGGTTTCTCTTTCTAATATAGCAGTTAAAGCGCCATTCAGCAGCTGTTGCTTGACATCGAGACTTTATAACGGGAAGGATCCAGCCTGGAAACGGCTGGAGGCTGAGGCAAGCTGAGTATTCTCTCTGGCTTTTCCCTTCTCACAAAACATCATTCTTCTTCTGTGGACTTCAACGTGACTGGTTAGCGTTTATGAATAGGGGCAGAAGGGTAAGGGCGATAGGAAATGGCTTATAATAAAAGTTATAGAACTCAAATATAGAGTTTTCAGAGGTTGATACTTATTATAGTCCTCTCTCTCAAGCAGCCCGGCTGCGTTTTCTCACAGCCTCGATACCCGTCAATCCCAGCATAGCCCCACCATTACGTAGGCCCTCTACCTTATGAGACCCCTCTCTCTGGGCAAGAAAAGACTGGTGCTGGGCTCGGGTTGTGAGGACTGTACTATACATAAGGTACATTGGGCTGGGCACGAAGCCTGAAAGGAAAGTTTCTTACCTCGCGCACTGGCAGGGCAGGGCAGGGCATGGACGGGAGCTTGCGTAAATACAGAGGCGCTGTAGAATACATACGTAGGTTACGTTAATCATTGAATTGGATGCAATGCCAGGAATTTTCCGCCAAGGTCATCTAGCCAAGCTTAGGGTGGGCTGGCAGGCACCTTGACTTAGTTCATTTAGGCAATCCGACGCCATCATCAACATTTCCATTTTCTTGCTTTCAACCATTTTTTTTTTCTTCCTCCCATACTTCTCTCAGTAGTTGATATCTACTACCCTACCATAACCTCGACCATTCATACTTTCTACCCGCCACCTGTACCCTAGATCGCGTACCTGGAACCTGGAAACACCAACCATAAAGTATCCATCATGGTCGTCGATACCGCCTATTACGACACCCTGGGTGTCCAGCCCACGGCCACCGAGCTGGAGATCAAGAAGGCTTATCGCAAGATGGCTATTGTCCACCACCCAGGTTCGCTCTTGTGCCTCACTTCTACCGCTTCATAGCATTTCGGAGAACTAAACATCTGTCACATCGCAGATAAGAATCCTAATGATCCTACCGCCCACGAAAAGTTCCAGGCCATCGGTGAGGCCTATCAAGTTCTATCCGATTCCGATCTACGCGCAGCCTACGATAAGTTTGGAAAGGACTCTGCGAGACCGCAGGAGGGTTTCGCGGATCCAGCTGAATTTTTCAGCTCCATCTTTGGAGGCGAGGCCTTCGTGGACTGGATCGGTGAGATTAGCCTTATGAAGGATCTCACGGCAACCATGGACATCACGATGCAGGAGGAGGAAGAAGCTGCCGCTGCTGAAGCCGCTGCCGCCGCGCAAGCCGAGGAGGATTTCCCTGGAACTGAAGATGCCAAGAAGGAGAGCCTCAAGGAGCAAGAGCAGAAGGCTGAGGACAAGGCCGCTGCCGCTGCAGAGCACCAAGCAGGCCCACCACCGCCGCCTTATGCTGCCGCTTCTGTCAACGACGACAAGGAGACCAAGCCCGCTTCACCTGCCGCTCCCGCCGCTGGCCTCTCCGCCGATACCCCTCAGCGAACCGATGCCACATCCCCCGCTCCCTCGTCGAGCTCACGTAGCCGAACCCAGATCCCTCTTCGACCCGCACTGATGGACAAGTCTCACGAGGACCTTCTTGATGCCGAGGCCAACAAGGGTGAATTAACAGAGGAGGAGCTCAAGCATAAGGAGAAGAAGAAGGGTGGCCTGACCAAGGAGCAGCGTGAGCAGTTGGCAGCATACGAGAAGGAGCGCGCCAAGATTCGCCAGGAGCGTGTCGACACCCTCGCTCGGAAGCTCCTTGATAGACTAAGCGTGTGGACAGAGACAGACAAGGGTCCTGACGTAACCAAGGCATTCCAGGAGAAGATGCGTCTCGAGGTTGAGAACCTGAAGATGGAGTCTTTCGGAATTGATATCCTGCACGCTATCGGTCAAACCTATGTCTCGAAGGCCTCGAGCTTACTCCGCAGCCAGAAGTTCTTTGGTATCGGTGGTTTCTTCAGCAGACTCCGCGACAAGGGCACACTCGTCAAGGAGACATGGAACACCATCAGCAGCGCTATTGATGCTCAACAGACCATGGAGGATATGGCCAAGATGGAGGAGAAGGGTGGTGAGGACTGGACTGATGAGAAGCGTGCTGAGTACGAGAGACGCGTGACTGGCAAGATTCTCACCGCTGCATGGAGGGGAAGCAAGTTTGAGATCCAGAGCGTTCTGCGCGAGGTCTGCGACAGCATTTTGAACGACAAGAAGGTCCACCTCAACAAGCGACTCGAGCGCGCACAGGCTCTTGTTCTGATTGGTGACGTCTTCATCCGGGTATGTTTCAAGTGCTGCTTTGTCGGAATCACACTAACCTTAACTAGGCTGAGCGATCTCCTGAAGAGGAGGGCGACTATCTCGTTTTCGAGCAGCTCGTTGCTGAGGCCGCGATGAAGAAGGACAAGGAGGAAGACCACAAGAAGAAGAAGGACCGCAAGTCCTTCCACAGCAAGGACAAGGAACCCAAAGACAAGGAGCACGCTACGACACCCTAAGCAGGGACGATGTTTCCTGGGGAGTTGGCAAACGGTAGAGAAAAGACTATACAGAAAGGTTGAAGAAGACCTGCTTGTTTGAGACCCTGAAAATGAGGGCGGTATCAACTTGATGGACTTGGCTTGGTGGCTTGCATGATGAACTGGTGGATGGTATAGATCGAGGATGACTGGCATTGATTTAGATATAATTTTCATGACACTATTCCCCCTTTTTTAAATTTGATGGCCATTTGTCTGGTACCTGTAAATATGACTTAGAAGTCAGAAAACACCAGACCTTAATAAAAGGTATCAGAATAAACTTAGCAAAAGGTCTTGAATTTTCTTTCCAACCATAGATATATCACTATCGGAGTGTGTACGTATAGATCAAGGAACAGTGGCGAGAGATGATGTGGTTGAGTTGAAGATTGGAGTTTCATCTCCCGACATCCTATATCCATTTCCTATTTCTGGCAACTATCTAAATTTCCCTATCACGTTCTCGGAACTTGAGGTAGCCGTGCCGAGGGAAGCTTGAGAAGCCATTTCCCGGGTCAGGTTCTCTCTTCTGCAATTTCCTCCAATGATTCCATCTTGTTGACTCGCCAGGTTGGCGTGGAAACTTCCTCCGGGGTATCTGTTATACATAGTATGTATCCAAAAGCAAACTAAAAAAGAAAAAGCACAAAATCTTGGCGACAAATGAAACCCAAAAAGGCCCAAATCTCCGAAGGGCGTATGTATATGTAACGATTGTTCAGGCTGAGTATTTGTGGCGGTGCTCCTTTTAGGAGAGAGAAGATCGTTTGAGAGGTGGAATCGATGGTGCATCGTAGCCGCTGGGAAGCAAAACGCTGTTGAACAGAAACAAAAGGGATGTAAAGATGATCGCTTGCTTGCCCAACGCCTTGTATGCATGCATGTTATTTCCATTGACTTCGTAGATCTGATGATGATATTTTGTTGTGATGCCCTGAGGCTTGCCTGGTGTGTAAAGACGAAAAGAAGGAGAACAAAATTTTGCTATGGTGAGTTGTATGTGTTGCGATGTCTTGGTCGCCTCTGAGATGTGTCGAGTAGTGAGAAAATGTGTCATCTTGCGATGACCGAGATTAGTTGCTGTCTGGTTGCAATTCGATGCCACTATCACGATCCTGTGAGCCCTTCTCCCAAGGCAGAGGAGCCTCGAGTGCTGCACTTCCAGGATCAGTTTCGAGATCGCCAACGCTAGCCAACGCATCGTCTTCATCTTCGTCTTCGTCCCCGATCGCAGGAGCAAGTATATGGCCGCCAAATTCAACGTCGGTGACACGGACCTTATACTCGAGTGCCTTTTGGCCCTCCTTGATAAGAACCTCAGTCCAGTTCAGGCATCGTTTGATACTTTGGTTGATCTTCTGACTATCGACCAGCAACTCCCGGTGCTTGGTCAAATCGAGCTGCAGACGATCTTCATCTCGCTTCCGTCGAGACATGGCCTTTTCGATCGCTTTCTCGTCTGTGGGATCAAGAGGGTCAGAAGCCGAGACTGAGTCAGTCATTGACAAATCTGATTCGTCAAGTGAGTCGTGTTCCTCGTCTGAGGGAGCTGCTGAGTTGTCCTCTTCGCTAAGATCCGAAAGACTAATTGGTGCATCTGTGAGTGCCGCAGAGGTCACTCGGCTAGAAGCTGCTGAAGCAACAGCAGAGAGGCGACCAGATCTTGAAAGTCGTCGATACCTGCGTATCTCAGCCTGCTGTTTCCGTAGTTGCCTTTCCAGTGTCCGATTAATAGCTTCAAGTGAGGCGTTGGTGATTTCCAGATCCTGCACCTTTCGTTCTCTTCGGGCATTGGCGACCAGTTCGTTCACAGGCTCGTGGCTGGACTTTGTAGGACTTTGCAAGTCGGGCTGGGATCCATCTTCCTTTTTCGCTTCTCCTTCTTCCTCTTCCTCCTCCTCATCGTCGAGATCTTCGGCAACTTGAAGAATCGAAGCCATTGTCAAAGCTGGCTGAGCTGAGCCAGGGCTCGAAGGGGGTGAGCCATATTCAAAAGGCCGTCGAGCCGGTGACATGGGCAACCTAGGTGAGTGAGAGTGATCAAAATTGGGAACACTACCAGCTCTTGCATGGCCTCTCTGCTTTTTCGGCGCTGCATCGATGCTAACTCGTCTCTTGGAAGAGGTAATAGACGCTGGGGGGGCTAGTGGAGAAGCTATCTGAGGCGGTGACGCTACTTGCGGTCTGTTCCCAAGACCAGGGGCGCCAGTGTTTTTAAGTATAGAAGGTGTAGGTTGAGCAATCTTGATAGGAGAATGTGGCCTTGGCGGTAGTGCGTGATTTGATTGTTCATTTGTTGAACTGCTGGTGCTTGGACGTTTAGACTGGAGTCTTGTTGTGGATGAATTCGCTGAAGAGGGCTTAAGCTCGAGATCCGCGCCATTGGCATAAAAGAACTTTGAGGATGAAGGTTCGGGTGCGGTACTGAGTGTCGGCGTAAATGGTGCAGAGACGGGAGGGCTGATTGGTTTTTTATATTCAGCATTGGCTTTACTGGCATGGAAGTAGGATGCAGGCTTTTGTGAGCCTAACGAGGGACGACCAGCTGTTTGTGTTGAAGTCGGAGCGTCGCTGGCACGAAAGAATTTGGCGTCCGGGTCTGCTGGAGACTCAGCTCGTGACAATGATTGCCTTCCAGAGGAGCCTAAGGAAGCTCGAGGATCCCATCCATCTCGATCTAGGTTTGGTGTCCCATTGGGCGTCGAACTATTGCTATTGTTGCGACCTTGTCGACTGCCAGAACGGGGAGTCACAGCATCGTCTCGCCCAGACGTGCCTGAGCTCAATCCTTGAGTTGATCGTCGAACTAAAGGAGGTGCGCCTAATAAAGGACCTTTTGCTGTCGAGGCAATCTTGGGCGTCAGAGGCGTTCGTCCGACTGTTTTTGCAGCGGCAGCACTGAGCTGCGGGGGCCTGTGTCTTGTGTCGCTTGGGGCCATTTTCAAGGTAGGAGGAGCGGAACTCGACGAGGTAGAACGGGTCGAGGGAACTGTAGCGGTTACTGAAAGAACATGTTGTTGTTTTGGGTCGTGAAAGCCAAGGGATGGCGTGGTGCGAGCGTTCGAGGATATAGTGGTGCCGCCAGAGGAGAATCGGGGACGAGCCTGAGCCTTAGTCTGGACTTGTGCCTGACCTGGAGTAGGGGTCTTGGATCGGGTCTTTGGGAGAGGTTTAGAAGAGGTGACTAATTTGTTGTTTCCGGCGGAGGAAGCGGAGCGGCGAATATGAGGCTGAGAGACTGAAAGGCCAGGAGATGTAGGACGAGAAGATGACGAATTGATGGTGTTTAGAGTGCGCATTCTGTCCACGAGTTGGGTTGTTGGAACAGCCTCTACTTGCTGGCTCAGGCTGAGATGAGTGGTAGCGGGACGGAGCGGTGAGCTCTCATTGGCTGTGCGTAGAGGCGGTAACGGGAAAGGTGGAAGGGACTTCAGTGGGCAACGCCCTGTAATGCCAATGCTCCAGCGCGGTGATCACTAAAACGCTAGTGGTTTCTGGCTAATTTGGGGTCCAATCTCAATGTCGAGGTGACCACATCCAAAAGTAAACAAACAGTTTCAATGACGAGAGACAAGAGGCGGTGGGGTCGAGTGTTGAATAGATGAAGTGGCTTGACAGGTCGAAGCGGGGGATATCTTTATTTTCTGCAGGAGACAAGGAGTATCCAATTGAGTTGTTCACGGCGGGTATAGACGAGATAGCAATCACCGCCTGTTGGGTCACGACATAAGGTAGGGAGCAGAAAAAAACAAGGTCGTCACGGATGATATCAGGAGAAAAGAGAGGCGAAAGGGAGACAGCCGAGAAGAGAGAAGCACAATCACGAAAATAGACGAGAAATGCTAGGGATAATAATTACAGACAACACCGACCAGAAACTAGCGGGATGAACGGATCGTGGTCATTCATTCAACACAAGGCAAGGCGAAGGACGTGGCCAGGATGGGGCGATCCCTGCTCCAGTCACTGGAGCGAGTGTCTTGCTTTTTGAACTCTCTTCGAAATTGATCATGCTCATGTTTACTTTTCCATGACATATAAATGGACAATGTCATGCTATGGGCTCGACTTTTATATGTCTTGTAATTGGGCAATCTGACTGGTTGCTGTCATCACGAAACATACCTCCCAACCTGGCGGTCTAGGTCAGATATGATAAGATGCACAATTGTTTATTTACAAGCGTGTGCGTCCCTCTGACATCGACAGAATCCCCAGTGAAACTCGCCTATAATTACAAGTATTGCAATATTTAGAACAGTCAATTCCCCTTTCTCCATTCAATGGATTATTAATAAATAAACATCCACCGCTTATTACATTTTATGCCAACTGAAATCACAGATCATGGAATGCCCCTTGCTCCTCGCTACTCATCTCGACCTGTTCCAAATCCCCTGTCCCCTGCAAAGTCCACGGGTGCCAGCTTTTCTCCGTCGATCACTGAGCTGTCTACAGAGTACTCCGTACGGATACTGCTTGTGGCATGACCAACGTTGACGCCACAAGAAGCAACAGCCGAAGGCTTTGGGCCGTATTATTACCGTACTCTCTGGTTTCATGCCATAATGAATCGGCATGAAAAGCAGTAAAGTCAAGTATATTCACCAGTGGGTGGTACAATGAAAATAGAACTTGGTATACAAGCGAGATGGAGTGGTGAGCTTAGAGTAAAGTTATGACAGAAACCCTCTAGAATTATTCTAGCCCGCCCCAGTTCAATTATGAATCGGTAATTATTCACATGAAAATCGAACCTCGAACCTCCAGCCAATCAGCGCTTACCCGTTGCAAGGCTCAAGGTTAGCTCCGGCCTTTCAGCTCCAGCTTCTGATTTTCTTTGTCCGCCGCTGACAAAAGCAAATCCATCAACTATTATCAAAGGCGCATCACAAGGTGGCCCGATGATTCTGCAATAACCGTTCCACAACCCACTCCCTCCCTTCTTCTCGCCAATCGACCCCAACTCTCCAAGTCACCTGGGGGAAAACTCTCTTTTTGTTTCTCGTGTTTCACTTCAGTCTTTATTGTGTCGTCATGGGCGTTATTGGTATCGGCCTCATCGTCGCCTCTGTTGTCTGGGTGCTTGTTCGTCCGCCGTCATGGATGCCAGAGCCGCTGCAGATCCTTCTCCGCTGGAGAGGGACTGGTCCTCCTGCTATTGTAGCTAAGGACGAGGCTGAGACTGAAGCTGATGATGCTGACCCTGCACCCCGTATCATGGTGTCGGATCCCGAGGTGGAACCGGGCCCTCGACTCCGGGCTCGTCCGGCCGATAACCGTACCACACGAGACGACGGCCAGCGTCGAGACCAAGGAAAGGCTACTGCTACTGCGATCGATACCCCAACCTCGTCGTCGAAGATCCACAGGAACGATGCTGCTTCTATGCCGCCGCCTCCTTTACCAAAGGTTGCGCCCCCACCTCCAACCATCACCGAACCCGAAGAGCAAACAACTCCCAAGGCTATCGCATCCGATCCTCCCTCTATTTCCGTCCCCAGCTTCAGCCTCGACAATGCTCCTATTGCGCCGAGTTCACACCCCGCCCCGCGTCGGAACCCCACAACCCCGGGCCCCGCTCTTTCCCCGAATCCAACCTCCATGATGCCTCCGCCTCCAGCTCCGGGCCGTCTACCTCCTCCCACGTTCTCAACTGCCCCACCTGCTGGTCGCATGCCATCACTCTCTCAGTTCCCCGCCGTGAATTCACCGCAACGAGCTCGTGGCCCTCTACCGAACAGAGGTCCTCCGTCATCAGGTGGCCTCGCACCTCCACCTACACACTCATCTAAACCCAGCAAGCCCAATCGCAAGGTCCTCCTCACGCCAGGCCACTCTCCTCTCGACTGGGCTCGCATATCTGGACCGAATGCTGACCTCCGTGGTGTCGAACCCCAAACACCATACCTGCGCGTGACCCCATCTATGCTGAAGCGCATGACAGGTCGCAAGGGCAAAGATGCTTGGATGGCCCTGAACGGCAAGGTGTACAATGTTACTCCATATGCCGACTTTCATCCCGGAGGTGTTCCTGAGTTGATGCGAGGTGCGGGGCGTGACGGTACCAAGTTGTTTGGCGAGATTCATCCTTGGGTGAACTACGAGACTATGTTATCAGCCTGTCTCGTAGGCCTGCTTGTCGAGGAGTCTGAAGGCACTGAGAATCAGATGGACCAGATGGATTAGACCATGACATTGAAGAGACGACATAGACCATAGACGCAAGACTACTGGCGCATCCATGTTACGTGGAAACGGTATTTTACATGTATTAGACTATACTGTTTGCGCCAGAGATGTTCTCCTCGAACACTTAGATGTACATTAGCTAGAAAGATACCCCACAGAGACCGGTCTTTACCGTCTCTTTCCAAATCGAAACTTGAGCTCGTCATCGCTGTCACTATCCGCGACTTCCACAGCTCTTCTCGTTGGCCGACTCCGTTTCGGAGGCTGCTGTCCTGCAGCAGGCTCCGCCGCAGCTCGTTTACTCCCCTGACTCGTGTTCTGTGATGATTGACTCTTTGACTTAGCCTGCGACTGTGTCTGTGCCCCTCGTGTTCGAGTCGCTGGTACCGAAGATCGCTGTGATACTGAATTCCTCTCTTCGTCGCTGCTGTCTGATATGACATTGGCATATGCCCTTTTCTGGGCACGAGATGAAGTCGAGGGTGCTGTAGGCGCAGATGGTTGTGACTGCGTTCCAGGAGCTTGGCTTAAGTTCCTCTTTCTGCGCTCCGTTTCCTCATCCTCGAGCCAGTAATCGTCTCCAACGCCAAACTCCTTCGTCTTGACCTGCGTCAGAGGCACAATAGTCTTTACGGGCTGGCGTCCTGTGGTCTCTCCACGTTGTCTGAACCTCTTGAAGTTCTTCATCCCATTCCACTTGGGGTCCCATCTTCCGTCACGAATGTCTTGTTCTCGAGTACGGGGATGGCTAGGCTGTCGTACTTCGATCTCTTCTACGATGTTGAGTCTGCGAATCTCTGCAAGATCAACATCATCTGGCAAATTTGCCAAATCTTCCTTTTCAGCCCGTGCACGAGCTTCTTCTTGCTCTCTGTTTTGTGCAGCTATTGCCAATATATCGAATTCTTTCTTGATCTTTTTTGGCTCTGGGACCTTCTCAGCTGTCGCAATTTCAATCTGCTCCGCCGGATCCTCCAAATCTTCACCTCGCTCTATCCGTTGACGCTTGAATCTCTCTGCTGCAGTTGTCATACCATCCATGAGGTCATCTTGCGGTAATGGTGAAGCTCGCCTTTTCCTTTGTGAAGACCTGGCATTGCTAGATTGTAGCGTTTCTAGGGGTGCATCTGGCTCCTGAGACACGAATAGACCTTCTTCCTCTGCTGGCGCTTGCGTCGCATTCTGAGTCGCAGCACGGGTTGCGGGTTGATTTACAAGCACTGGTGCTGCAGGAATATCGTCCATATCAACGTCATCATCTCCGCCGAAGCCTGCAAAGCGTCTTTTGACAGTTCTCCTCGTCCGCCCACGTCGAGGAGCAAGCTGTGACTCTTCGTGTGCCTGTGACGTTTCAGCCTGTGTGGCAGGATGCTGTGTCCCATTGGCCACCTCAGGATCTTGAAGAGTCTGGGCTTGATGTTGTGTACTATGTGCAGACTCAACCTCGAGAGGGCGTCGAAGAATACTCGCATCTTTGATGAGGATTGCTTCCAAAAACTCACTCTGCTCAATAGGGCGATGGTCCAGTCTCAGGGATACAGACCTGAAAAAGTCCACATACCAGTCAACTGAACCTCCTTTCGACGGGACGAAGCGTACTACTACTACACCTTTGCCCTCGCTGCCGTCATTAAAGGCACCGAGGCCCTTTTCACCAGCGACACTTTTGACATATTGAACAAAGTCATCGACCGAAGTTTCTTCGGGAACAACATTTCGCAACAACGCTTTGCCACCACCACTCGTAATAGGCGCCAGCAAGTTGTTGTACTGTACGGGGTCGTAGAAGATGAAGCTGTAGCCTTCAAATATGTCGCGCCTCCCTGGATCTGGGGCATACGTCGAGTCAGGGTGTTGTACAGGCTCGCCTCCCCTTGAAGGCAAATGCTGCATAGCATCGGGCCAGTTTTGATCAAAGTCCTGCTCCAAGGGGCTCAAGTCGGTGGTCTCCGCCCCATCCACTAGATTTCCGGCTTCAGCCACTGCATCGAGGAAAGTTTCCGTTACAATGTGTTTCCCGTTGATCAAGGCCTGAAGCCCTTTGGCTGTATTTCGCTTCTTTGAGACAACATGTGTGGTCGAGTCAGCATATTCTGTCACAAGCTTGATATCAAGCTGCTCGAATCTTCCTCGAAGTGTAGTTAGGGGGTCTGTCTGTATTTCCTTGCTGGTGAAGGAAAACGCAAAGACAACTGGTTCCCAGGAGATGCTGTGGACTGTAAGCGGCGTGACACCGGATCGGATGAAACGCGTTACCTGAATCTGTTTGGGCATTTCCCCATTGTAAACTCGGCCTTATCCCCTTCAATCACCTTTCTCTTGCCTTTGATCTTTTCTCCGTTGACGACTGTCCCTATTTTTGTCGCCAAATCTTCGATCGTGAGCGTTGAGCGACTCCTTGGATTGTGCGCCTGGCCTTTCTCGACAGGGCTGACGGTGATGGTCAAGTGCTTGCGCGAGATTGTATTGTGTGATATCGCAAGTTGGCCGGCTATAGATTTTATGAGCATCAATTCTTTCGGTTAGGGGCATTTCTCTTACGTTCTGCGGCTGTTCGACCAAATAGGTAGGTTTTCCCTGGTCGCAACCATAACTTTCGGCCTAGGGATGATTAGCCACATCGACAGATGAAGGTCAAAACTCACCATCAAAGGCCTCTGAATTCTCCAGGATCCACATCTCCAGGCGTCAAGTACGACGCGAGGTCGTTTACAATTCCATACAAGTATTGGCGAAGCTGCAAGTTATGACGTGAGGTCGAGATCGCGAATCTTGCGGGGCCGTAGACGCGACTCGGTCAGCCTTTCGCGACGCCAGATCACGTGTCTAGCTTGATCTCACTTACACGGCGTCAATTACGGGGTGAACAAAGAGAAGGTGAAGTCATAGGCTTCACTGTTCCCAGGAAAGGATTGAATGTTGAAATATTTAGAAACTGATATGCCCATACATTATGCAGTTTCTTTTGGCACTCAAGCTTAAAGTTAGCTGCTCTTCTTCTTCTTGCTCCTCGATTTGGGTCTCGTGTATGATTCAGGGTACGGTTTAGGATATCAGGCAGAATCATGTCAACTTGTCTCTCAGGAGTATTGTTTGTTGCATGGAATAAACACCCCACAAGGCACTCATTGCGAATCCTCTTTCTATTCTCTTCACACAAAAGGCGTTCCGAAAAGGCCTATAACGCCACACTCGATCCCCCACCAAGGCTTCATTAGGAAACAGAAACGTGAGTTATTATCGCTACTACTTGAAGTGCATATTCGCAGACTTTTTCGTATTCTATACCGCTGTCTAACTAGTTGAAGATCAAGATCAGAGCTATGGACCATACAGGCCCAAGAAACCACTGATGTCAAGCTGAGAATTACCATGGACGAGCGCAACGGTACAGATCACAATCAAAGCGTAAGTCATGGCATCTTTCACTGCAAGGATCGGGCGCTAACAGATGAATGTGTAGCCACCTCGTAAGAGACCAAAGACAATTCACTTCGGCAATGCGGAGCCACGCACTGGCGAACTTCAGCCATTTACATCTGTCGGCAACCACTCAACCAGTGGGCAGCACGATACGGAGTCGAAGGAGATTGACTACGCTGGCACGATCCGTAAAGAATGCGCCGGTATGGAGATGGATTCGAATCATCGTTTCCTTTACGTTGTTCCGGAAAAAGGAGTTGTGGTTTTCTTTCAGGGCATGAACCAAGCTGCAGCAACTCTCGACAAGGACTACATGGCCAAGGCATGTGAAATGGTAACATTCCAATTCGACTCGAGCCACACAATGAGGCTGTTCGCAGAGCTTCTCAAAGCACACTTCGAAAACTATAGTGGCGTTATGCCCCGGGTCCATGCGGAAGTTCTTGTATTCGAGAGTGCTTCTTTTCCCGAAGCACCATTTCTCAACGGATGGGACACGGAACCACACGCACATGGATCCTACACAGGCGCCCATAATCACGTTAGAGACCGGGTGGCCGCCGTGCTCAGCGTTTCGACAGACATGGGAATTGAGTTCCATCTCTGCCGTCCCTGGAGAGACTTTGGTTTCCTTAACGGGGCTACGGCTCCCCTACGAGACGCTGGGTACGATCTGTCGGTCACTTTGGAAGAGGTAAATTGGCTACAAGTGCCAGAATGATTCAGCGGCTTTTTGAAGGCAATGACAGTTAGAGTGGTGACTGGAGAACCTCTAGACAGCGCGAATCTCCAATTTCAATCCAATCTAACATATGAGATTGCTAAAGTTCTGGTCGATCATGGGAATCGATTTATCCGTTATTGATCATTGTGTTTTTCGTCACGCGCGGACATCGTCTGCCTTTGCTGCATGCCTGGGCATAACACTTTACAGTACAGTCTTTGATTTGGTGGGCGAGAGAAATCTTTTGAGAATACGGGCTGTGCGGTTAGTGACCATACTCACGAAGCAGTTCACTTTCCTACAAGCAAGATGGTGGAATTTCGATGTTGTCAGTGGATATCTTGGAAGCATCAAGCTATAAGTTTGCTACATGATGAATTCAAACAGATCATAAATTATTAGTTTCTGTTAACTACATCATTACTCCTCACACAGGATTCTTCCTACTCTGACCATGGGAACAATACCAGTCAACAGTATCCAGACACTCAAGCCGGCCAGTAATACAGATACCAAGACGGCAATGGCGTATCTTATCTTATCTGTTTGGAAGCTAATCTATAACAAATGAACAAAGTAAGCTACCTTCAAATTTTACTCGGCAAATGGCTCAAACGCTCGAATTGCGTCGTGTCCATAAAAAGGTGTGATTCAGTGCCAAAGTCAAACATACAGCGATCATACTAGTTACAATTACTCCTCGAGTAGAAAGAAATGCAATATGCCACTCTCATGAGGTTTGTTATTGTCAAATTGTTCATCCGTCTGCCTATCATCTCAACCATTCTCCGCTCCAAACTTCAAAGCACATCAAATCGTAACTTGGTCAGGTTTGGTAGCTTTGCTTCCAGTGCTTGTTCGAGTCAATACTAAATACTCCCTACAGTTGTTATACTTACTAATGCGTGGTCACGGTGCAATTGCTACATCGGACATGTTCGCAGTTCGTGCAAATGGTATGTACGGCCCAATCCCAGGTCTGAAGGCAGCGACACTAATAATGAGACGTTACACTCAACCATGGCAACTTTGGATAGAATGAGACTGTTTCTTACACATTTCCAGTAATACGTGACTGGTTCAGGAGCCATATTGGGCTACCTAAGGATGCAATCAGTGTAAGTCCATTATAAGAAAAAGTTCTTGGTTACCTACATGTGATTTGAGTATATCGTGAGTATCGGTAGTTGACTTACACTCATTTCTGAGCTCCAAAACGGGCTCGAAGCTCGAGCTTTATTCCGATGCGGCTCTGCGGTCGACTGACACTCAAGGCTCGGGGTTACCGCGAAGGATGCAACCCAACGCCGCCCAGGGTACCAATGAGAAGTCCCGTTTTCGCAGAAACGTGATAAGTTCACTTTTAGCCGGGTTGTTCATTGTTAGTGCCATATTGACGTCAGTGAATGGGGTTGGGGGCGAAACTTGGATAGTGTTGGTGATGACAGGTAAGAGCAAGGGGACCTAGGTTGCCAATAGAATGAAGGTCTCGTGCTGCAGTGGTTGAGAACGTATGACTCAAGTAGAGTTTCGGGATTAATAGCTATCTGTGAATAAGGTATATCCGGGCTCCAGTGTGTCTTTAATGAGTTGCATCGGGCGACTCTGGCAAGGTGTGTTAAAGACACGAGACACGAGACGGGAGCTTTGAGGGCATGCAGCAGTGGCACATGGCAGGTCAAGTTCACTATAGGCTCATTATAGTCGCTTCCTATCCTCCATTGTTGGTACTAGCAAGTGTACTTGTGAGGCTCAAGTCAACCAAGCCCATGCATCCTGCTGTCGTATGTTACCGACAAACGGTCAAAGTATGATTGGATCTGGACCTGTGATGTCCGGCCACCTTAAGCCAGTCTATCGAGAATTTCAACTGGGCACGTATTTACCAATGCGTTTCTCGTATTTTCATTATGTACTTATTACCTAGCTTAAGCCATTTAACATGGTAACAAATGCTAACATTTGACAGTATTTGATCATAAACTCAACGCCAACATTTCCCAAGCGCCGTATATACTTTTGCAAATAGGAGCAAAAAACAAAGGACTTTATCACAGCCCAGGCACAAGTCCCTAAACCTTGCTGGGTTTATAGCACTCAGCTATCATCTTCTTCCGACCAACTCTCCTGCTCTTGATACTGATAGCACCGCTCGCTTGAGATCTAACACGATGTATTTCCTCGGGATCGTGATTCGTAGCACGAGCAATTTCACGAAGTTCGCCAATCTTCCAGCCGCGCAGGAAGAAGAGGCACAGTCCGCCAGCGATATACATTACGCCGACAAAAATTTGGGCGCCGATGTACTTTCCGGTGCCGGCGACAATCTGTAGAGCAATGGGTGTGCTGAACGTACAAGGCAAGCTGATGATGACCCAAGTCAAGTTGAGAGCAGCAGGAACATCAGCAAGGCCGACAACCTCGGCTGTGACTGGAGCAACTGTTGCCCAGTAGGTTCCGGCCATGCCACCTCCCACGATGGTGAAGAAGAGAAGAAGTCCATAAGACTTGGCGTTGATCCAGATAGCAAAGACGAGAATTGCAGCCAGCCAAGTTGTGCCGCAGGCCATGTTGATTCGCCCTGTGCGATCACTGAAGTACCCGATGAAAGGACGGCCAGCAGCCTGACCCAGATTGAAGATGGCGCTGACCATGGCTGCTTGAGAGGCATCGAGACCAATGAAGTTGGCATAGTTTGCCAGACTGAAGATGAGAACCACGTATCCTAGCATGCTGAACCATCCATAACCAAGAAGCAAGATAAACTCAGCACGTTTGAGAAGTCCGAGGTCGAAGGGTGCTTGACGAGAGCCAATGATCTTGTTACGATCCTTGACAAGAATAGTGCAGATGATATTGACGACGAAGACAATAATGCCGAGTATCCTGTACGCCCATGCGAGACTGATGTTCCTGATGATAGCTCCAGCTGCCAAGGAGTATAACAACCCACCGAGACCCGAACCAGCGGCACTGATACCGTTTGCGAGTGATCGACGAGTTGTGAACCATTGAGGAACGATACCGACGCTGGGAACAAAGAGGCAGCCCATTCCCAGACCAAAGAGGACACCCTGTGTGAGGAAGAGTTGATATATCTTGGTCGCAAAGCTAGCGCATATCAAGCTAGCGGTTTCCAGTACGATACCGGCGAAGAGAGTAGGTTTTGTGCCGAATTCGCGGACGCAGAGTGTAGCAAGGGGTGAGACAAGCATGGCACAAGCAATACTCAATGATCCGACAAAGGCGTAGTGAAGAGATGTTGCCCCGGGGAATGTGTTATTGGCGATGAAGTGAGCGAGAAAGACTCCGTAACTCGAGTTGAGACCCCATGTATGGGCGTTGATAGTCGCAACACAGGCACAGCAAACCCAGCCATAGCCTCCATTGGGTGGTGGAGGCGGTACATCTGTTCTCGGGGGAAACATATCGCCGTTATCCTTCTCCTGGCTCGAAATTTGCCGTTGAACTTCCTGGGCTGGAGTGATGACATCGCCTTCTTCGGTAGTGGTGGTGTCGAGACTCCTCCGAGCCGAACCCATCTCCGGCTCCGGCTCCGGGGACCGGGAAGTCTTTTTCTCGTCGTTGTCTCCCATTGTTTAGGGCAATTTGGAGGAAAGACGAAAGGAAAAAGATGGAGGAGTCATGATTTTTAGTAAAAAAAAAATGGACAAAAAGGGATCAAGTGCTTCTTAACTATGACCCCCGGCTTAGAGGGACCGTCTAGGGCATCTCCGACAACCGGAAATGGCGTCCGGGGATAAGACGGGTCCAGTTTTGATGCGTCTTGGCTTCGGTTGGCGGCGCAGAACCACGCGGGCCGTAAGCCATCTCTGTATGTCTCGCTAGGGTCTTCTCGTGCTGACAATGTTGTAATTGGGTGATGTATCTTACAAACAGAGCCAAGATCCAATGAATGAAGCTGTCTACTCACTGCACCAAGACGAGTCTCCCTTTGGCTTCCGCATACAGGCAACAGACGGTCATAACAATAAGACCAAGGGGAATAAGATTTGAGCCTGGGGATAAAGCGGGGGTGAATGTCAAGTATCCAATCCAATCTCAGCCGATCTGATCGGCTATTACCCGCATTCACTCGCTCCCACTTCCGCCCGCCTTTTCCTTTCTCGTTGCTCTCCTTGTGACCTTTCGTGGGGTAATACACATACATTATTTGACACCAAGACCCGGCATTTCATGTCGGTGAATAGCAAGTGTCGTCTTTTCTGCTTATAAATGCCACATGGTTTGTCATAAGATGTGTCAAAAAAGGGCGCCAAGCTTCAGCACTGCTCGTCTAATATGCCGAGGTCTACGGCGTTGCCCCTCCCAGACTATTCAATGGGAATAACGCATTGTCAAAGAAAGGGCGTTCATTTGTTATTCTGACCCTGGTCGATGTTCTGATATGCAAGTCAGGTGAGCTAGAAAGTACGTACAGAGAGAAGAGAGAGAATATCTGCTGGAGCCTGGTGTCCCTTGGCCACAAGGATATTATCATATGCTTAGGACAATTTATAAACATTCAGGCTCAATCCTATGAATAAACCAAACAAACTCATCATAAAATAAACACCTCTTTCGACGTTTTCTAGACTTGGAGGGAGCAGCCTCTTTCTCTTCTCGAGCCTTCGTGATGTTCACCGTAGCCTCGAATTTTGTTCTGCCTAACCCATACAGCTCTGCATTCGTGACCGAAGATTAAATGTTCCTGAATGATACACTGTTTATGAACCATTTTCTTCCCGTTCAATGAACTGGGCATACCGAAACTATGAGAAAGGCCAATGAGCGGGTTATTTACAATATAACCTCACAGCTTGGCATCAGCTCAAGTGCTTGTTCAATGTACACACCTGGAGATGCAGTGCACAAGATGAACAACTCAACGTTCGCTATGAACACGGCTTTTCGACTATTGCTGAGAACAATGCACAGAACACGGTTACACAAAGGTCTGTTCCAACTCAGAACAATTGTCAACACAGAATCAGGTCCTTGTTATGAACACTTGGATTGTAAGATATATACCACACAGCCTCACCAGCCTTTGAAACGAGCCTAACTCCCCATTCAGCACGGATTCTTTGATCAAGCACAACCTACTCTGATCAGGAACAGCCTACTCATTCGGTTAGAAAAAGAGAAGAAACAACTTGCGCCGCTCATAATGGGATTCAAACTTCAAGCCGCCGGTCCAGGGGCGATTGTCTCCATCGTCCTCTTAAGCATGGTTTTAGTAATCCGAATCACCGGATTTTTTGTTTTGCAATACGGTCGCTGGAAGTACCAGCACTTCGAGGGACGCCTAAACGGGTCAAAAAAGATTTCTGTAATCTTCACGATCCGGAACTCGAAGGATCCCAATCTGATTGACTATGTTTGGGCTATCCTTAAGAACAAACCTGAGCAGCTCCTGATAACTACTAACAACAGAAAGGCTCAGCACAGGGTAGACGGTAAGTTGCAAGGGTTGAGATTTGCGTACTCTGATACAAAGATTAGTGTTGGTGCTGTCAACGAGCCGAATAGACGTCGCGAGATCGCCCATGCTTTGGACTCAGTTAACACTCCGTTTACTGTTCTGACTGATCAGGGAGTTCATTGGCCTGAGGGATTCCTCAAGTCGGCAATGACCCCCTGTGAAAATCATCGTGTTGGCTGCGTCACAGTTCCTATGATGGCACGCAAGCGAGATGGAATCTGGGGCTCGTTCTTGACATGTCTCGTCTCGTGTCAATAATCCCTCATGGCGGAGAGGAATAGGGCTCTTAACGCTCTCGATTCCTCTATACTTTTCACAGGATCGCCTATCATATTCCGCACCAAGTTGACTGCCCAGCCAAGATTCAAGCAGCAGTTCGAGGTTGAGCCGTGCTTGAACCGACGGCATGGTGTCCATAAAGCAGATGAGTATCTGTTCTTCAACCGATACTTGCTTCAGGAAGAGGCTCCGCGCGAAGAACCTTGTCTTGTTATATTCCAAGACACGCCGGAAGCCACTGTTCTTGTGGACCGACCTTCTATCGCCGAGTTTATTAGTGAGTACCTTCGGATGACACGCAATCTTTGGCGGCTTAGCCGTGTGATGATTCGTGGGAAGGAGCGCAACCAGTACCCCTGTGCCTTTTTACTGACGCATCTCAGCAGTTTTGTGTCGTTTCCCCTGATGTACGAGATTCTCTTCTTTCTTCTCGTACACTTCACAGTCCATCTTGGCGACGACGAGTGGGCGGCTTGGATCATATTTGGATATTCACTTACCTTCTTCCTGACGGTTGTGGGGGCACAGATAATTCGGCGTTTCGTTGTAGGCGGTGACTACGGCTTTGGCATAGTGACACCTAACATGGCTGTTTTGGTAGGTTACCCAGCCTACTATATCCTTGGGCTCCTCAGGCTTGTGGCACTGGCCACCGCATGCAAGGCCGACATTGAACTAATCAGCGAGGATGAAATTAAAGTGAGAGTGGGCGACCCTGAGGCTCTGCGATATTCCGTTCACGGCGCTGAGGAGGCTCGAACGGACATCGACGAACCGCCGTGGATACCGGAATGTATGGAGTTGGAGAGGCCCCGGCGTGTGCTTCGACCACTGCGTGACTTCCCACTGTACGTCATTGAGGAGTAGGTTGTCCGAAGCCAATCAAGTTGATGATGAGTGTTCTGTCCAGCCGGGGCATTGGGATGAGACGCGAAAGCTCATGCCCTCCTACCGAGAACTAGGCAGTGTGATGGGAGTCAGGAAGTTGACATCGAACTTGACCGAAACGAAGTAAAAAGGCAAGTATTTTCCTCTGTGCTAATAAAGTCCTATTCGAAAGCCCTTTGGCTTATGTAACTAGCCCACTTGGATCCTTATTGAGACAGAAAACCGTAACATATAAAAATGCTCAAGCAAGAATGTAGTAGAATTGGGGTTTCAAAGTTGTAAAACACGATATTTGTGTTCTGTGTCCCAGTGTCACTCAAAGTCGAATGGTAGTACACACGATTGCTTCAAACTACCTAGGAAACGCCCCGACCACGCAGTGAATTAGCCATATAAAGTGGAGTTCGGATACAGTGGCAAATTTTGGAAAGAGAGTTAAGATCTAGATCTCCCGAAACCATGTCTTCAGATTCAGTCTGGGGAATGCCTGTGGGGATACCTTCAAGGGACTCGTCTGTGCTTGTGTATGGGGATGAATCCCCAGCTATAGAAAGAGTGGTGTGATTGCGGAACCGAAGTGCCTGTTACATTGTTGCAATCAGAAATCAAACCTCAAATCCTGGGGTTACCCAGTTTGTGAATCGAGACGGCAATGCTGTGAACTGTTGGGAGTCTCATGAGGGTACTTGGCCATGACAACCTCTTCAGGTACAATGATCTACATATGGTCGTCTTTTCAATCATTAGTTACCCGGATTTGAATGGAACAATGCATTGTTCCAAGTCGCCTTTTAGAATAGGTGTGTAGAGTGTTGGAGTCTATCATAAAATGTGAGAACTCACCCCCTGCGAGAGATACAGTGCCACCAACCAAATTGTCCTGACTTGATCATAATGCTGTAGAGACTATTTTACTTAAAGGGTATTCGGGCACTTGAATATCTTCATAAGCCATACGCTCCAGCTGTTAGACGAAAGATTCCCATAAGGCGACACCTTACCCTCAACACCAGACAAAGGCTTCGGCTATGGCACACAGAGACTCCTCAAACTATTACAGATGAAGAGCTGATCAAGTTAAAGTATGATATATCCAACTGCCGTTCATAGCACTATGGCGATGTAAACATCTCACAGAAATATGCATGAGTGATCTGTCCTGTGTTGAGCATCGAATGGTGTTTACTCTCTTTATTGTGAGGCCTCACTCAACAAAGTAACAACAACCATACAACAAAACTTATGCCACACTATCAAGGAGTTGGTGAAGAAGTTTCTTCACTTGTGCCTCGCGGTCGCAAGATTCGCCTCCCCCGAGCCTCCCGGACAACCTCCTGTCGCTTTGACAGAGGCATCTTTTACCGACTTCAGGGAGTCGACTTTAGGGGAAACAGAACCGAGGTAATGCTGACCGGATGATAATTGTATTTTTCAATATCTTCGAGTTACGTTGCATCGTGAGAGTACAGATTCTCAACAAACATTACCAACTGCCATCCGGAGAAAAGGAAGTTGCTCAAAAAGGAGTGAAAACTCTTTCATCTCGAGTCATTCTCCATCGTGGAATACAACACAACCGAGGATAACTTACGTACGACACACCGTTTGTACAAATTTGCATTTAGTGAATATCTGCCTGGCGTTCAGAGCTCGGGGGTAGCAGTTACAGGGGAAACATAGAGTGATATTTAGCACCAATGATCACCAACACTCAGCCTCTCGCTCAGGAGGGCATTGACGCATGCGACCCTCAGATTGGACACGGATATTGAAATCCGATATGCGCTGAAGAGAAAAGATGTGACTGTGACAAGCCATGACCGGCCATAGTTGCCGTTCAAGACCCTTTTGATGAGCGGCAGCAGATCAGATCCTTATCTAGCTAGCTTGGCCTCTCGCGGCTCTTGAGGTCTTGGCTGGCGTAAATGTGGCCTGTGCGTGTTTGTGTCAGAGATTGATGAGCGACGAGAGCCAGGGTTTCTGGTATGTATTAGAGAAGGGTGAGATCGTGAGACGGGAGTAGGTGACTGTTTGTGTTTGTCTGTGTTTTGCTGCAGAGTCTTTATTTTGGGTTTACATCTCGGATCCGCAATCTGTATTTGTCTAACAAAGGGTAGCAATGGTGACACTTCAGGGCAGCAAAAGAGGCTTCGGGGTCTCGGACAGAGCGCGAAAGATGATATTTCCGCAGGCGGAATTTGGAGGTGGCGAGACAAGGCAGACGCAGTGGGAGACAGCGGATCCTCACTCATACGATCAAGGATGACAGTGGAACCCGTCAGGTTATGATGATGGGGGGCAAATTTTGGAGACTGTTTCCTTTTCTCCATTCTTCATCGGTTATGATTCTGCGGTGAAGACAAAGCGAGATTGGAGTGATCGTCTACATAAAATGAGAATATTCAGAGGGAGGCTGGTGATCAAATTATGTATCGATGATACGGGGATAAGAGGAGACTGCTACACTTATCATGAGAACAAACAATTGGAGGAGGTTCAGCAGCCGTGGCGTCATCGCTTTCAGTTCCTGCACTACACTCAATCCCCTGAAGTGGAGGACGCCACTTCACCAGGAGGACCCCTGCACCTAATTGCTTCTGGAAAAACTGCCTGAAGGTCTCTCTCTCTCTTTTTCTGCAGAAAGAGGCGTAAACTGACTCATAATTATTCAAAAACGCTACATGTCAGCATATCACGACTCATAATGCCCATCACCAGTCCCCAACTCACGACAATCACTCTCAGTCGTACAGTGACTTAACGTCACTTCGGCTACTCCAAAAGAGCCGCCCACCCAAACCCTGCCATATGCGGAAGCGCTATCAGTACCCCTGAACAAAAAAACAGGAGGCTCAAAAAACAATGGATTCTAATTTGGGCGCATCGATCATTCGATGTGATAACAGTATCCGTCTTGTAGCCGACTGACAACCGAGGATAAAGTGCAAGCTAAATTTCCTTATTAACCAGACATTCCCCTCTGTGGAATTAGACTCAGAGAGTAAACGGCCCTTTTCCTGGTCTTCTCTCGTGATCTTGTTGATCTTGTTGCGTTCTTTCATCGGAGGATGAGCCCTTGAGAGAAGACTGCCGACGTTAATTAGCTTGGCTGGGCAACCCTTTCTACAAGATTGGGGGTGCATTCTGCTGTGTGCAAGCCATGCAGATGAGTTTGTGGTTGGGGTCTGGCCCTTGAATCGAGTTGGAGTAGGGCGAGAAGAGGGAGGTCTTTTTCACGATGCATCGGGTCTTGGCTCATTACATCGCTATTCCCGCCTGATCTCTCTAGGTCTTCTCCAAATTCCTTTCCTTGAGGAGAACCCTACCACTTCCTCGCTCGGGCCCTCTTTTTGGAGAACAAGTTTAGACTTGGCAGTTGTCATAACGAAACGCTGCTGTATCCGTTTCTATGTCACGGTGATTTCATGATTGTAGTTCTCGCTCTTGGCTCTTTGTTCATTCGAGCCAACGCTTTCTCTCGAGCTGCACAACTGCATAGTGATCACCCTTCCAAACGAGTGAGTGTCCCTCTGCATCTGCATAACCGAGGACTGCACCGTGCTCTCTACATGTGTATGAATGTAAATCAACGGATAAGTCGGCGTCAGATAAAATGGGTCTTTTGCCTCTCTTTCGCAAAATCAGTGACGAAAGTGATGCTGCTCAGGCCCACCTTCGGCCATCGTCCAGAGCTTCTCTCCTCATTGTTTATCTCGACGAGATTCTGGGGAAATAAATCGGGATCTTGGACCCCAGAGTCTGCCCCAGATTGTTTAATTCAAGTTTAAATCTCCAGACTTTTTGGTGGTTTTCTTGTCTTGTTCTGGTTGAAGACTTTTGGGCTGTAAGTTGGTGATGCTGTCATGGGCGTGCACCAACCTGATCAACTCACACCCCTGCTAGAATTTCTCCAATTCTTAATGAGCGTACCCCTCACATCCCACGCCCTTGGCTTTTTTCCTCTGTTGCATCTCGGCCGCAGCCGTCGGAGGGAAAAAAAACCATCAGCCTCCTTGACTGTGTGTGTGTGTGTGTGTGTGTGTGCCCCTGCCACTAAGCGTCAACATTGCCGACCCTCCCATTTGAACCAGACTTTGCATCATGGTTTCTCAACTAAATTCTTTAGCAAAATAACCACGTGCTCCAGAATGCTAATTTCCTGGAAAATATGGACCTTGTAGTGAAATCTTTGCTGGTTTGTAAGGCAGATCACCATTGCTATGTGGGCACTAGGTGGACAATCCGTGTGGCTCTCCACGTTTTGACCGTGAGGCGGCGACTTGGTTCATCGCCCTGACTTTTGAGCGTAATGAGCTTTGGGTTTTCTACTCTAATATTGAGGTTGTTTCGATAAGATTGGGGTTTTGGGATATATGAGTTGCGGGGAGGAGTCTCCGGCTACAATGGTTGGTGCTTCAATCGCCCAAAAGACGGTTTGCAGTCAAGACTCCAAGTGATGTTTGCTCATAACAAACATGGCCACGAACATTAACATTGAAGTTTGGCTTCATTCTTAGTCCATGGAAGTTACGAAAAGCTATAGACATGTAACCGTGTATTGCTCAGGCCAGAGAGTTCACGATCTTGATGATTGATCGACTGATGATCTTCAGCTTCAAATTCATCCACACGATCTTCCTTGATCTCTGCCGACATCAACTCCCGAAAGCCTCTTCTTACCTGTAATCTTTAGTCAAATATACTGTACTCCGTATTTCTCACACAATCATCTTCTCCGCAAAGTCGAGGGGTAACCCCAGCACCACCGGATGGATCTCAGATGTATGTACCTTTTGCTAGGGCCAACATGCTGCATATCATGCTATGTAATCCGCAATACGCGCTTGTTCACACGCTGAAACGTCTGGAATTCAAAGACCGACGGCATCTTTTACGGTCACTCTTTGGTCGTGCGAGGAGATCATCCATTCAATTTTCTCCTCATGTCTTCCCCACAATGTGATTGTATTCCCCGCGGGTTGTGGTGTTCTCCGGATTGTTGGGGTTAGGGTTTGTGTGTTTTTGATGTTAATGAGGGTTCTTTGTCTGCATTAACAGCCAATTGAAACAATAAAAGGGGAAGTCCTCCTTTATTTGTGGTTTTGTTTAGACTTTACCGGAAATATGTGTTTTGATTGTCAGGAGAGGAAGAGATCATGAGGTGGACAATCCGGGCCGTTGAGCCTTGCCATGTCACCCTCATGGACTCATAGTCACCACCACGATGATAGATGTGTTCTTATTGAAAGTGCATTGTGTATATATTTGGGTATCATTGAACATAATCGTCATCTTTTGCCCAATTGATACACTTGATGTTCCCCCCAAATCTGCAGCTGTTGTTGATCTTGCACCCCCATTCTAGACCCTTTCGACCCCAAAAACTGAAGCGGCCTACCCTGGTCGTTTTCTTTCTCCACGCCCACGCCCTCGTCGTCGTCGGGGCACTCCACCGTCACTCCACCTACGTACCCATATCACTCCACAGCACGGTCTCTGCTCTCCAGCTGCCTTCTGCCCCCGTCTCCAGAACCTAATTTGATATCCATTCTCTCTTCAATTCCCGTGTTGAGTTCTCTGCCCTGGTCTAGTTAGTCCGTCCTGCTTTATAAATCTGTCTTGTCTCCCGTTGCCACTTTCGATCTCGTTGTTTTTCTTGCTATTCATCTCACGCTTGGTCCTATATAGACCGTCATACTATTTCCTGTCGATACATCACTTATAGAACATCACTTGGACTTCAGTAGTCCGCACCATCACACATCACAATGGCTCAACCAATGCCCGATTACCAACAGCAATTCTCCAACGAGTCTCCTCACGACTCTGACAAGACTCTGGAGCGTCAGACAACTGCTGCCCATCAACAAGCTCATCCTCATCTCTACGCACATCCCTCAAATATCCATCCCGCTTTCGGTGGTGCCCTGCAACCAGGTCTCTGGAAGCCTGTTGAGCACCGCAAGTTCGCCAACCCAGCTCCTCTAGGACTATGTGCTTTCGCTCTCACAACCTTTGTCCTATCATGCATCAACATGCACGTCCGTGGTGAATCTTCACCTGCTATTGCTATTCCTGTGGCCTTTGGCTATGGTGGCCTTGTTCAGCTTTGCGCTGGCATGTGGTATGTTGTACTTCCCACTCAACTTATACATCTTATCTAACATATACACAGGGAAATGGCTGTTGGAAACACTTTCGGTGCTACCGCCCTATCATCATACGGAGGCTTCTGGATCGCCTATGGTCTTCTCTTGACACCAACATGGAACGTCCTCGGCGCCGATGGTCCTTACGAGGGTGATACTGGTTCCGTCATGGGCTTCTTTCTTACTGGCTGGTGGATCTTCACAACACTCCTCCTCATCTGCACCCTCAAGTCCACCCTTGCATTCTTCTCCCTCTTCTTCTTCCTCGACATCTGCTTCCTCCTACTTGCATGCGAGAACTATGCTCACGACTTGGGCAACCACAGCGCTCAGCTTGCTCTTCAAAAGGCGGCTGGGCTGTTTGGATTCTTGGCTGCATTCATGGCTTGGTACAATGCCCTCGCCGGTCTCCAAGACAGCAGGTATGTTTTACCACCTCACTCCATAAAATTATACCTCATTAACAAGTCACCAGTAATTCCTTCTTCCAGGTTCCCGTTATCCACTTCCCCTGGTCCGATGAGGGTCGGGCTCACCGTCACCACAAGACCGAGCAAAACCTTGCTTAGACGTGCATCAATGAGGATTTCTTGCATTTCACGCGTTACGACTTGAATTCTTATAAAATAGGGTGTATGCGTTCCCATTTTAGGCGAACATGTGGTTTGAGTCCGCTGCATTGAAGGAGTTTTAGAAGGTCATTCGCTGTACCGGCCAGCGATCGTTGGCTTTTGCATTTACAGCCGCCGCTGAAGCATCGCGGCTCATTAGATGGTGGTTAGCATGTGATATAATAAGCTTGGTACTGTACATATGGAAAAATGAGGAACCTCATGATCAAAGCCTCAAAGTTGACTGAGTACACCTGTGATCGAATTACTGACGATATCATATTCTAAGATCAGCACAGGCAGTTGAGAGGATACATACCTGCGCCAGCTTCTATGAACAGTTATGTGATTACGAACTATGACTTACTGGGTGCACTAAAATCTCGATCATGGTTCCTGCAGGTTCATCGTGCAGGCCGATCCTGGTGTTGACGCCAATGCCGGGCTCACGCCACCTGATGACAGCCACAAGGCACAACTGGGCACTACACTCTGTTGAGACAGATCCTCCCCCGATATACTTTCTTTGTAATGTTCTCCTTAACGTGATGCGGAAAGTATCGTTTGTAGCCGTTGCTTCGGCATTTCATCATCCCGTCATCCCGAAGGTGGGGCCGCCCTGCTCCGGAAACCCGGGACCGGCCGATCGGTGCCACGACCGATAATCGGGAAAAAGCAAGAGCAATTATCAATCTTGAATCTGCTAATCTCTAAACCTATTCACGTCTGCCGAGATCTTCGGCATATTACTACTACATCGTGCGTCGTTACATCTTCAACCCCCTTTTCCCTTCCAGACCGGAGAAGCTTCATTCTCACGCATCGTACGATGTAACAGAATCACCTGATGGGCCGTGAGCCACGACCACAACAGTCCACCATGATCCAACACCTCACGCTGAGCAATCACAAGCATCATTGCAGCTGCAACCAACTCACTCTGCTGTATTGTATGTATAAATCGCCGATACCGCCCATGAGTGCCGCCCCCGCAATAATAACCTAATGCCTCGCATCCTTCGCTGGACCATGAGCAGGCCGCAGATCCTGTTCCTTTCATGCATTGGCTTCGCAGTCGCTCTAACTGCTATGCTCTACGGAAACATCATCAAACCTTCGACTGTAACTTCTGTTTTCTCAAAGACCATGTCCACGCGTCCCGTCGTCGTCGTCGGCTCCGGCCTCGCTGGTTTATCAGCATCGTACGAGGCTCTTCAGCGCGGGGCTCCATCGGTTCATCTTCTTGATCGCGCGCCGAAGCCTGGCGGTAACAGCATCAAGGCTTCATCGGGTATCAATGGTGCGGGCACCAAGTACCAGCGCGCTGCTGGCTTGGAGAGCGACACACTTTTCTACAGCGACTCTGTCAGATCGGCTGGGTCACGGTTCCATCTCACACAACCTCCTGTCGATCGCGAGGCTCTCATCACAAAGCTCACCACCGAATCAGCAGCCGCAGTCAACTGGCTTGTTGATGAGATCGGTGTAGATCTCAGTGTCGTGGCACCTCTTGGCGGCCACAGCGTTGCTCGCACTCACCGTGGCGCTGGAAAGACACCGCCCGGAGCCGCCATCATCATCGCTTTACTCAACAAACTCAAAGAGAATGAGAAGTTCTCTATTACTAACCTCGCTGAGGTCAAGGCACTACTTAAGGAGGGAAACGTTGTCAAGGGTGTCGAGTACGAATTTGAAGGGAAGAAGCATAACCTGGAGGGATCCGTCTTGTTCGCCAGTGGTGGTTTCGCTGGAGATGCCACAGGTCTTCTGGCGCGCTATCGCCCTGACCTCAAGGGTATTCCTTCGACGAACGAGGAGAGGCCGGGTTCTCACGATATTCTCACCGCTGTGGGAGCTGAGCTGTTAGATATGGACAGCGTACAAATTCACCCAACAGGCTTCGTTGATCCTGCGACGCCCAACTCCATGCTCAAGTTTCTCGCAGCCGAGATGCTCCGTGGCGAAGGCGGTATTCTTCTTTCACCTGAGGGCTCTCGCTTTGTTAACGAGATGGATACTCGTGAGCATGTCAGCAACGCTATCATGAAGCTACCAACTGCCACCGATGGCGACGGTGTTATCAAGCAATGGGATATTACTATTCTTCTTGACCCTGGTGCCTCTGCTGCATCGGCTAACCACATTGGCTTCTATGAGTGGAAGGGCCTCCTCAAGAAGGTCAAGGTGCGCGATCTCAAGCCTTCTCAGATTGCCGCTGTGGATAAATATGCCAAGGCTGTCGCTGATCTCACAGACGATGAGTTCGGCCGCAAGCAAAGGGGACGTTGGACACTCAAGGCTGGAGAGGGAAATCGCGATGAGGATATTTATATCGGCCGCGTAACGCCTATCACACATTTCACCATGGGGGGAGTCGCCATTGATCAGAAGGCCCGTGTATTGACGAAGAGTGAGGATAAGCTTGTGCCTATTCCTGGCCTTTTTGCTGCTGGTGAGATTACAGGAGGTATTCATGGAGATAATCGCCTGGGAGGTTCCTCTTTATTGGAGTGTGTGGTTTATGGAAGGACAGCCGGTGCTGAAGTTGTTGGTTCGGCTCAATAAGATGGTCACTACTTTTTCTATATGTTCAACTCACAAATGTGAGGTGCGTTTAATTGGGGTTGTCAGCATATTATATAGATCCATCCGCGATCGTAATCTTTCCTGCAATGCATGTTTGGTACAGTTTCTCGGCGGACATTGGAGGTGACTAATCATCAATCCCCGCCTCTTGCTCATTCAAGCTCCTCCAGCCTTCGAGGCAGTTGTTCATGTCCAGCACTCCATTGCCACTCGCCCTTGTAACTAGACAAGACCGGATCTAATCCTTCCTTTGCCTCATACCCCTCATCCGGGACTTTCTGATGATCTATTAGCGCTTCCCCTTCACTCGGCTTGCCATCCGTCATGGTGTTTTACGGCGGCCAAGAAGAACTCGACAGTCTTGTCTGGGATAGAAATGACGAGGATTCTGAGGCAGCACAGAATCAACTGAGGCTTAAAACCTTCTACCGTCAAGTGGAAGAGTTTTTCCAGCATCAATTCGGTAAACTAGCAACACTCATTTCGCCCTTGATCTTTGGAGGGTTCGACGTTCTTTACCGAGTGCAAGTGGAAGAAATGTCGCCTCATATTATGGTTCGACTTCCATGCCCAAGCCCCGTTCAGTTCCCTGGTGAGAAGACAATGTATGGGGCAGCGACAGCTTGTCTTGTGGCACAAGAGACCAAGTTGCCGGTTCCGCGCCATTTGCACTTCGACCAAGACTCGGTGTTAGGTCCCTTTATCATCATGGAGCGACGAGAGAATAGTGGGAGCATATCTGCCAGGCTAGCACGGCCAAATAAAGACCTGTCAGTGCCCCACGTCCTTGACCCAAACGTATCTGAGTCTCTTTTGCATGCTATCTGGCAAAGAGTAGCGCATTGCTTGTTGGCAATGTCCCGACTAGCTTTCCCAAGGATTGAATCTCTGCTCCAAACTCATGCTCATATCTATGAAGTTGCCGGTCGTCCATTGTCTCATAATATGACCGACATGGTTCGTCTAGCAAACATACCAAGGTGTATCTTGCATCCAGAGAGCCAGACTTACACAGGTACGGATGAGTGATACACCTTCCTGGCGGAGATGCATATTGCGCAACTTGTATTTCAGCATAACGACCTTGTTACTTCTGAAGACAACTGCCGGAATAAATATGTATCGCGGCAAATATTTCGCCGACTGGCCAGACATGGCAAATTGTCAAGCTTTGGGTTTGCTGAAGATGCTTGGTCATCACAGCCATCTCGGATTTTGCCAGAAACACTATCACCATGTCCTCTTAACTCTGGCCCTTTCCGGCTATGGGGCGATGACTTTCGCGCAGGCAACGTCCTGCTTGACGACTCGGATGAGATAGCTGCTCTCATTGACTGGAAGTATACATATGCTGGACCAGCGCAATTTATTCTTGACCCGCCCTGGTGGTTGCTAGTTGAGACCGCAGAAATGTGGTCACCGGATCTCAACGACTGGAAGAAAACCTACGAGTCTCGTTTAGGCATTTGGCTTTCGCCCATGGAGAAAGCAGAAGCCAGCATGGGCAAATCAGCCTATAACACTTTCCCAGTGCCCCTATCTAGGTATATGCGCGAAATCTGGCAAACAGGACGCTTCTTTCTAAGCTGTGCGGCCCGTAGGAGTTGGGCATTTCACTCTATGTACTGGAACTTCCTAGATGAGAGGTTCTTTGGTGATCGAGATCCTGGCGTGGTGAAAGGCGATCTCTGGACGACACGGATTGACTTGTTGAGTGATGACGAGAGAGCTGCCATGGAGCCCTTTATACAGAGGAAGATGGCCGAGAGCAAGGAAAGGCGTATTGTCGAATGGGATGAGACTGAGGCACAGAAGCGGTTTTCTGAACTCCTGTTCAACTAGTTGGCACACACTATAAGTCCGGAAAACCTCCGGGTGCCATAAGATTTAAGACTCTCCATGGGCCTAACAAGTCTATCATGCACTATCCTAAGACATTTTAATATTGCATAGGGCTTATTCCAGGGCGTTCATCCTAAGTATCTTGCCCTTGGCATTCAACTCTGTGCTTACAGTGGATTTAATGGGAGTCCGTAGTGGAAACAAACGGGAGCAAAGTCAGCAATGTTTCACAATACAAAAGGTTCTTACGGAGAGTCTCCATTTAAAGGTTGCTCAAATACATCTTAACCCAGTTATCGCACCCTTCGCCCTCTCGAAACTCTTTGTCAACCATGACATTTAAGTACAAAGATCCTTCACATACTTCATCACTCCAACTTGAGAGGGTTCGCCTTGAAGAACTCCTCAGGAGTAACAAGTTTGCCTCTCGCCCTCTCAGCAGCCCAAGCAACTGACTTCTCTCCATCGGCACCATAGTATCCGAACTCCTGACCAGCTTTAAATGCTTGCACGTAGACATCTTTTAGGATGGGTAGCTTCTCAGCAAACTCCTCAGAAGAGATTTGCTTGTAAGTGATCTCCTTGCCAGTAACCTTGCTCTCAATAGCGACAAGCTCCTCTAGGCTATAAAACCCAGCAGCTGCATCAAAGCCTACGCCCTCATACTTTTCAGGCTCGGCTAGAATTGCGCCGACGAAACTGCCGCAATTGCTGCCGTTGTCGATCCATGGGATGCGAGTCTCGGGGGTGAATGGGAGAGATACAACCCATTTGCCACTCTCGTCCTTCTGAGGAGCCCAGAGAGGGACTTGGATGATATTCTCGAGGAAGAATCCCAGGCGGACAAAGGCGCTCTTGACGGGAAGTGTGCGGATGTACTTCTCGCCCTCAGCCTTAGCATCGAAGGGATGATTGGCGGTATACTTCCCGCCAGAGACGTCTGTAGTGCTAGGAAGACTGCTAAAGATGATGTACTCAATGCCAGCGTCAACAGCTGCATCAGCTGTCTTCTTGATGACTTCAAACTCAGGCTTCAGATCGGTAGCAGTCCAAGCAGGAGTTGTCATGAAGAAGAGAGTGTGTGCTCCCTTCAGAGCAGTCTTGATAGAGGTAGGGTCAGCTAAGTCGCCCTGTGCGACTTCAATACCTCGCTCTCTGAGCTTTTTGGAGTTCTCAGAGTTGACATCACGGGTGATGGCGCGGATCTTGTATTGCTTTGACAGCTCTGGGTCGTTGAGGACGAAGTCTATGACAGCGCCGCCTTGTTTTCCAGTGGCGCCGATGACAGCGAGAGTCTTTGACATTTTGAGGTTTCGGTAATTGATGCTTAATTATGGTAAGTGCGTAAACAGTGAGATTGAAAAGTGATTGTGATGATGGAGTCCAAGCTGGCGCTTCAGCCGTCTTATATCTTTCCAGCGCCCCGAGATTCTGATCAATTGTACCACATTAAGTCAAAGTCCGCATATTGCGAAACCAATTTCTACTGCCCTATCAAAGTCCGCATCTTATCCTCCGAATTGAATCCTACACAGAAAGCCTCCGGTCTTTGCCAAGTTCTCCGTTGGCAGAGACGCCAAAACAAGGGACCTCTGGCGATCTACAGGGCTTAGCGCACTTTTCCAGTGACTAATCTCACTCCAACAGCGTTATTCAACGTTACTTGATGTCACTTCTGCGCCAATGAATTCATCCGAATAGCACTAAGCAATGCGGCTTCGCTGGAAAGATGCTCCGAGTCAATTAATCAGCCTCTACGACTAAGGAAGACTCCAAATCAGGAGGCGAAAATAAGGTGGCTAGAGAATTGATCCGAAGTAACGTAGCCTAGAGCATTCTAAAGTTAGAAACACCTTTACTATTCAAGACAATGTGAATTGTTCATCTTGTTTCATCAAGTCACCGGCTTTTGTTTTATCCAAACATGTATGCATTCGTGGTTGAGCAATATTTCCCACAAAAACCAACATCAAACCGAGTATTAGGGTAGTTGAATGCCCAATCGAACTTTTCTTTCCCAAAAACTCCCATCATGAATCCTGAATATGTCTTCCAAGCTCAGCAAAGTCCCCAACATCCTCACCCGTAAGATCCCAGTCCGGGTTATTATACATAGAATAGCAATGCTTATAAAAGTCATCATGCGGGAGATCCCCCATCATCATCTCCTGCTGTGAGGCCCCCTCTACGACTTCAGGCATTGGAACCCAGAGGTTAGAGAAGTTGTCCCATAAGTCTGTGTCGAGAGGCATGAAATCTTCTGGCGATGTTTGGCTTTGGTCGCCTGCAATGAGCTCGCCTCGGTGAAGATCACCGAAACCAGAGGGTGTTGCGCCGTTGGTTTGTGTGACACCGTTGGTGGTTTGGCCTTCGCCAGGTGGTCCTTGGGGGGATACGTTGACCACTTGTAGTGACTCGATCTTTTGTGCCATTACTTTCCAGAGTCTCTTGACCTCTTGCAATCTCTCGCGAGCATACGTGTTTCCATGGTCAGCAAGGTGCTGTATTTCTTCCATTGCCTGAGTTAAGCCGGGCTTCGGGTTGATTTTCATGTTCTCTTCACAGACTGAATCCAGGATCGCAGCGAGAATCATAATGAACGCAGCTGAGAAGGAGGCTTCGAAGTCATAAAAGCCGAAGATTGCTTAAGCCGTGTCAGTAAAACAACACCAAAGGTCCAAGGTCAGCTTACCGATCATGTTACGTTTTCTGAGCGTTGCGACAACCTTAAGCTGTCGCCTTGCAGCCTCGGCGCATGTCCTCGAGAGTCTGCCTAGCGGTGATGCATGCAGCTGTTCTCCTGTGAGGCCATTCCCGCTGAGAATGAGTTTCGCAGCGTGTAGCATGAGTGGTCGAATCGTAAGAATAGTTGCCTGTCCAATGGTCAGTACGGTCATTGACTCTTGTAACCAGCTTGCATACTTGGAAGAGCATCAGATGCAACGAGGCTGTCGTTCTCAGGGACTGGTCCCGACCCAGGTTATACACATCTGTAACTGCATCTGAAGGGATTTCTTGGGAGATCTGGTATAAGGATTTGACGATGTCTTGGACGTGGGGAATAAAGGTGGATTCTGACTCGTCTTCAGGATTATAGAGCACTAATAAAGTGTCAGTCACAATGCAACAAATCTTTGTAAGCTCACGTAGACCTACCAGCCAGGATACGACCCGTGGCTCGGGCTATCCTGATGTTTGTGCACATAGGACCAACAGGTGGGAAGCCAGGTGAATCAGTAGGAAGAGGGATGTTGATTGCCTCATCACCGATGCTTGGAGGGTTGCCTGTCGCGGCAGCCAATCGTCTAATTGCACATATTCATTAGCCATCATTCCTGAAGTCCACGATTTTATTCCCTTACCGTTCTTGCATGTAAATAGTCCACCACAGACGGTTCATATGAACTCTCTCAGACTGCATCAAGTGCCTTGTTCCACATACTCTGTGATACTTTTGTGAAATTGCCAAGCGCATGGCGGTGCTAATCTACGGGAAAAGTCAGCCATTGTTGCAGAATTAGCCATGAGACAACTCACATAGAGATATGCTTCTTCTTTACGATTCATGTTGCCGAGATAAATGGCAAAGAGAGCAAAAATCTCAATGCCAAGTTTTCCATTGAACCGCAAGTCTGACAAAGTCGGAACGTTTCTATGGGCATACTCAAAGAGTCTGACCCCAGAAAAGTCGTCATTCCCTTCGGGGTTGGCGTCGAACAGGGTTCCAATAGCAATCATAAGAATCATCTCGAGAACCCACAGAGACTCCATCTGAGCAGGATCATCACGGTTCTGGTAGAAAGCCCACATTTTATCAGAAAACTCACGGGCATCAATATGGTGCTGTGACTGGCCGATATAGAACAGAGCTGTATCTAACAACCTTTGAGCCTCGTCTCTTGGGGGCAATTTTGGAAAGTCACTGCTGGAGAGACGCCATGGATGGCTGATAACTTCGTGACGTAAGTTTGCCTCAGGACTGATCCAAGGTTTTGAAGTTGGCTCTGACTCAGGGCGAGATGAGCCGAGTAAGTCTTGGACTCGGGAGCCAAAGGTATGACTAGAGCTGAGGGAAGAGCCGGCAAGAATAGCTGAATTTTAAGCATGCGGTCATAGGGCTCGGAGAGAAGTTAACTTACTTGCAGCCGGTGATGCTTGAGTGCCATCGTAAGGAGGATACTTATGTTGAGCTAGGGGTGCGGAGAAACTTGTAGAGGGACGGATGAAGCTTGAAGATCTTGATCTAACATGGAGAGGGTCTTGAGGGGAGGAGTGAGATGTTTGTGGGTTAGAGTTGGAGTCTCTCCTTTGCCCGTTCTGTGTAGCAGAAACTGGGGGTTCTTAAGCTTATCAGTATAGGCCGAATGATGCCAGGGTGAAAGGAGAGCCATACCAGAGGCCCTAGGAGGTAGAGTTGAAGGCAGTCCATCGTAGCCATCTCTTTCATATCTAGCTAACTTGCTTTCAAGTTCCTCGATACGACTAACAAGTGACATATATCAGTTGTAAGTCCTAATTGGGTTACGAAAGAACTTACTTGGCCATATACATGCGCTTATGTCCATGCTCGGGAACCCTGCAGTCCAGCCCACGCTTGGTGCAGTACTGACAAGGAGTAGTCCCCGAACACCGAACCTTTTTCTTCCTACATGTAAGACACCTGCGAAGCTGTAAGTCACCAGAACAAGACAAAAATAGTGGAGAACAGGATATCGACATACGCCAATGATGCTTTGCGTGCATCTTTTCCCCCATCGGAGGGCGCCGGACGCTTCCGAGCCATCGAGGCTGTCGAGTCGTCGGCCACGGGGGTCATTGAGAGGTTCTAGAAACGAGATGATCTGACTCTAGAGATAGGAAGCTTATGGAAGACTTGACCGAGAGTCTGGGACTGAATGGGCTGAAAGTCCGAGAGGCACGGGGACTTGAGCGTTGTTATTCTCTCGGGATGGTTCCGGACTTTGAATGTAAAACTTCTCCACACAATGATCCGATCACGTGAAGGACCAAAGCCCCCATAATCCCCGTGGAGTATGGAGACGGGCCAGCTTCCGGCTTGAGACGATAATGGTGGTCCACTAGAAAAGTCCAGTGGAAAAGATAAGCTGGGGGATTTGGGTGGGAGCACGGCTTCGAGGCCGATGGATCAACAAGCCACCGGAAAACACCTTCTGTCAAGTTTTCCGGGGAATCCTTATATGTCTGATGTAGTGCCTATCGACACAAGAACTCAACACAGAATCTTGTGAAAGGATTAGGTTCAATTTTGATGTGAAATAATCCGATTCATCGCTTTGGCCAATATGGTCAACTAAAGGTGGTCCAAGTCGTGAGTCAATGGTCTCCAAAAACGTTGGATGAGGCAATGCTGGGATCGGCATCGGACAATATGACCGAGGTATCGGAGGTGCTTCCGGTATGACGAAATACCTCATCAGCTTTATCATTGCTGAAGTGTTATGTTACTAGATACAATTGAATTCAAATGCATATTTTTGAGATAATTTTCGCTCACCTAAAATTTGAGATGGCCTATGTCCCAGGATAAAGTATATATGAAAATGCTAAAAACCAATAACTGCCGCCAAATCGCTACATATTAATACTATACAAATCCCAAAAGTATCCAAACTCATCAGACGTAAATTTTGTTTGAAAAACCACACTCCCAACCTCTTTTACATCCTTGGTTCACGAGGCTGTTGCATCATTGACGCTGCCATCTTCAACCTATTCCTCGCCTCAGACAAAAGCTCCCAGCGCGTGTTCGTCAGTGCATCGTCAACAACACTCAGTAGACCAATGATCTTATTCCTGTTTCCAACCACGCCAGCTTGATTTTGATGCAAGTGGAAAGCTTTGATAGAGTCGATGGTGGGCGGGATCATGATTTGGAGATATGTTCGAAGATCCTCATGACGTTCACGCTTCAACGCCTCGTAGTCCATATGTGATGAGATAGGCGTCTGCTCTGGATGAGATGCCTGAGGAGTGTTGATAGTGCCTTGAGCTGAGGATGAATGAACACTAGCCTCGGTGGCCATCGTCGGTATACCATAGCTGCTGGAGGGATATTGTAGATGATCTGGGAACGGCTCGATGTTTCCATCTTGCACATATCCATATGCCCACAATACGAGAGAAGCGTAGTATAATGCCCAGGCCCTGACTAGCAACTTATCGCTCCCAGCATCGTACTTGGGATAAGTAGATGGGGAAAATGCAGTTGCCATACCACTAGCATCCTTCGTCACGCCTCTCCTTGGCGCTTCTTGAAGAAGAATAAGCCTGATGAGTTGGAGCGCGTGATACACTCCACCAATAGCTCCAGGCGATGCGACCCATTCTTTGATCTTAGCCTCAGTTCGTCTCCAGTCCACAGAAGACACAGTGCGTCCAAGGATTTGAGGAACACCTGCAAAGATACAGAGCTCTGGCATACTGATGTAAACAGTAATGTGACCAAGATGATAAAGGACTGTGCCAAGTGTCTCCATGGCATCACCATCATCACTTCCACCTCTGCTGCTCAAGCCTAGTCTCTGCCAATCAAAGGCAGCGTGTTTGACATGAGCAACACCATCATCGTAGTCCTTCTTCCACCAGTCAAATGCCCTTAGAAGCTTTGGGCGCCATCGCTCTTGGACGCCAGGTATAGTGTCGGTCCCGAGCGTTGAGCGGTCCAGATCTCTTTGATGCATTTGCCATGTTACGGATAAAAGTGCTGCGAGAAGCGCAATTCTTCCAAACGGGCTTGTTCTTACTCTTTGCCCATTGAGCGTGCGTTGTAGTCCGTCAAGGAAAGTAATAGGTGTCACGCCGTTAGCATGGAGACTCGACTCAACGCAACCAATTTCCGATGGTGAGTCTGAAGACCATAGAGTGTTGTCGCAAGGAAGAGGAAGCTTGATCTCATGGATCACCAGCGTCGGTGTATGCCCAAAGAGAGCGGCATGTGTAGCATCAATGATGAACGCAGCAAGGGCGGCTCGGCGCGTAGCTTCTTGAGCGATCCAATGGTCCCACCATTTTTCAGGCGAAGAATTGAAGCCTGGTTTGTTTGGCCCAGGGAATAGTCTCGAGGATCCTATCTTAGGACTACCCATCGGAGTTGGAACCCGAGAGGCATATGAAGATTGCTTTCCGGTGAGGGCACTTCCTCTACGCATGAGCGACAAAGTTGTAGGGAAGTAAATATGGGCACGCTCGTGGAGAACTCGAGTTGCGTTCATCTTCTCGTACACCTCCAGAAGTAAGAGTGTCTGGATGACCCAGAGTTTTGCAGGAGGGTGAGAGTCCGCATGCATGAAGACCTGCCAGCGGAGGTTCCAGGAGACGAACGTGGTGAATTTTGAAATTTTGTCCACGGAATCTTCAGATGCTCCCTTTTTGTCCAGCATCGAGGCTCCCATGATAAGGACAGCCAGCAACAAAAAGTCATTGGCAGTTTCCGGGATGAATGTTGGGCGGTGGAGGATGGGCAGTTGGTGGTGGAAGTTGTCCCAGTATGAGTTGAGATAACGTTCAACGTTGACGTGGCTGAGAACATGGTTCTCAGCATCAGTATCGCTGCCAAAAATCTCATCCTTGATATCTGCGGCTGATCTGCTTCCATGTAGACTGATCTCGTTGAATCGCTGCATCATATAATGAAGCAGCGATTGCCTCTTGTGCTCTGAGAGACCAGTTTTTCCAAATTGTGATACATCGACCATCGGTGTAGCCATCGCCATTGGTTCAGACTGGAACCACAGGCTGTTGATAGGTTCGACATAAGAACCGCCCATCAAGCCTGGTTGAGCCGTGTAATCCGTACACAGCTGGCCAAAATTGTTCGAGTATCCTGCCATGCCGAAGTTTCCTGGTATGAAATTGTTGTAGTTGGAGCCTAGCCCTTGACCAGTGAAGAGCCACGTCGTGAATTCATCTGTGCTAGATGGTGAGAGCCCGAAATGCTGCTCTTCCATGATTTGTTCATTGGATGTCGATAGTCCATTAGGCATGGCATAAGATTGTGTGCGAGCGCGTTCCGGGCGAGTAGTCAATTCAGGACTTGCCAGAGGCATAGACATGTCAGTAGGAGGCATCTGATCGATCCGGAAGGACGGCAAAGTGCTTATGGCCTGCTTTTCTGGCGAGGATTCACGACTTTCGAGTTGTCGTTGGTCTGCATAGTAGCCACTTGCGCTTCCTAGGTCATTTTGCTGGCCAGAGTCTTGTCGGGATAGTCCTCCATCCACCCCGAATTCTTTCGAGTTGTTGGGGTCAATTGCCGATGCATCCATGGACATTCGAGTCGTTGAAGCTTGTCGTTCTTTTGCTGGCGTCTCTCTCGCTTCATCTTGTGTATCACTCCATGCTGAGCCATCCTCACTGAACGAGTACCTCTCACTCCGCTGCCTCGGTAGTTTAGAAAACTCCTTCTGGGGCCTCTGAGAAAGGCGCCCATTTCCATACTGCTGCACCTGTCTCTCATGTCTCAGTTTATGACGCGCATAGAGATCTTTCCTAACGAAAGTAAATGAGCAATCCGGATAGTCACAGTAGTAGATCTCTTTGGGGGAGTCTATAACGGCGTCAGTGGGGGAACAATTGATCCAATTGGACGGTACTGACGATTGAGTTGATGCCGCTGAAGATGCTCGGCTCGGGAATATGTCCTCCCGCAACCTTCGTGGGTGCATTGGAACTCTTTGCACGAAGCCTTGCGGCGTTTCTGGCGCGGGGGTGATGAAGCCATCGCGGCTCGTGGTCTGGCGCCGTGCCTCGGCTAGAAGTGCTTCTGATGATTCAGCACGTCTTTGAAGGACTCTCAAAGACTGCAAGGACGCCTCTACGCGTCGCTATATCGGCCACAACCGACAGACTCGCGATCGAAGCGGTATACAAACTCAAAGCCTTCGGGCCAAATTACCCTCCCAAATTCGAGATTATGGGGGTGAATGTGACCACGCCTCCTTCTTGCCTAGTCACCTGACTGACCAACCCATTCTCGGCTCATTTTTTTCTCGTGTTGGCATTACCATTTGCCATCCCCGCGATTCCCCCGCCCCCAGGTCAACCGAATGCGGGGACAGGGGTGATATAGGGTAGGGTATTCTTTTCCAATCTCTGGAGTTTGGGGGTGATGCAGGTAGGGTTCAGAGGCATCGGAAGATTGCGTGAGTGGTAAAGTGGCTTGGTGTTGTGACGGCGCGTGCATGGCTAGTGTGGTTCGTTGCCTGTCAGTTCATTGCTGATTGCTGAAGAATTGCCCTGCATTGGAGTTCATGCATGTGAGAGGAGGAATAATTCATCGCGTCAAGCCTTAGGATTCCGGCCACAGTAATGATGACTACCTGGTCCTGGAAGATCATGTGCACGTACGTCTCAAATTAAATCCGATCATACAACCAAAGATCTGCAATAAATGATCAATACTGTAGCTGCAGTGAGTTTCTGACCGATCTCTGATTGATGCGAGACATTGGGGCCCAACCCCTGTCAGTGTCTGTGATTTTACTCCGGTACTGGGCTGCGAGATTATCGGTGAAGATGAGATCTACTGGCTTGGCTGGTACATACTACATTCCCTCTCTGGTTTGGTTATCTCTACACAGTAGCATCGCGCATCACGTATACCTTCCGGATTGTCAAAAAACTCCGATGCATGGCATGCGACGGGTTTCCAATCTCACCTTGCGCGCTGCGACCGGCACATCCGGTCAATTTCTATAAACCCTGCCTATATCCTGAGTGCATAATCCACAAGGGTTCAGGACACGACACTCACAGACTCACTGCAGGATGTCATTCCGCAATTCCGCCTTCGGATTTTGTCGTACCAAGTCATATCATGATCGATAACCTTAAAAGAAAAAGAAGAAAAAGAAGTTCTAGGCGAGTTAACTAGGAGATCAATTGAGGCTTGATCCAAGGAACTAAACTGGCCACTGAGAGCGGAGAAGAGAAGCACCAAAAGAATAACATTCTGTCACTATCATGAAAATGCAACTTTGGGCCGACCCAACAAAAACTAAAACTGGAGTGGCGTTTCCCTGCAGCTACCGATCGCGCAAATGCACGTGGCCTCTCCCTTGCAAAGTCAATAAGCGACGTCGATGGACGGGCATTCCCAGTCGATCGAGACTTTGTTTCACGTTTATCGACCCTCTTCTTCTGTCCTGTTCTGTTCAGTGCGGAATTGAATCCAGGCACAGCACGCACATGAGGTCAAAAGAGGCTTCAGCCATGGCATGATTCTGCAGCGTAGCTCCCGAGAATACGTGTTGCCGGACAATAGTCCGTGTCCTTCTCGAGGGAGGGAAATTTGCCCATTTCGCTTTTACCTTGAGTTATTACTCAATGCTTAGAAAGACCAGGATGAAATGTCAGCGCCTCTGAATCATATTTCCTTTGAGATATGTTTATCCGTGGAACAGCAATGATCTTCGACTCTCCACAAACAATGCAATGCCATCATGACAGAAGAGGAAAAGGGTTTGGCAAATCTGAGGCTCCCAATGATGATCAGTGCTCGCTTCAGTCGTAGTAAGGGGGGAGTAAGAAAATCAGTCCCAGGGCCAGGGCCAGGGCCAGGGGTCTTTGCTTGGTACGCGGATTCCTACGATCTAGCGATTGATCTGTAAATATTTAGTGCGCTCGAGTCAAACACACGGACCGCTCATTCGCAAAAGCAAGCAAGTACGACAGAAAGAGCATCGTCGGATTGATACAAGCTTTAACTGCCGGGTCGACTATTCGCACTAGATGCTTGCCTAGTTGCGGGCGCCCAACGATCTCCGCACGGCAGAGAGAGGCTAGAGAGGCTACTGATTCTAGCTTAGAGTTGGGCGTCGACACTGGAATTCTTGACTGATTCAGGTCAGGTCAGGTCATGTCAGGTACGAGGAAGAAACTCTGACACGGACTTGGTTGCAGGTGGCGTTGCAAGAGTTTATAGCGACATAGAGCCAAGCCTGTCAAAGACTGTTGAAGCTAGGTACCTACAGTGAGTAAAAGAGGTGGTGGAGATTTTCTCGGGGCTGCTAGTGAATTGTTTGCCCAAATTGGGACTTGACATCCGTTCCTCGGCTCCCACATCAGCTTAATTTTAGTCTTGGGTCCGTCCTGGGTCTCTTAGCGGTAGTTCCGTCTGTCTGTCTGTGGGTTGTTCTAGGTCTTAGCCACCTACGAAAGCACCAAACGGACCCGGGCATGGTTCCACAGAGACAAATCTGTTCATCTGCATGTCTCTCTCTTGACTCTTCTCAAACACGCGCGACAGAAGCTAATGCCAGGGGTTTGGAGGCGAGGTCTCTTGCCCCCTCCCGGAGGCGCTCCCCGTTCTGTTGAACCCCCCGGAGAGGCTCCAAACCGAGGCATGCCCGCTGATCCCGCGAATAGCATGGCTGCCTAAGTGTGCTGATCGTATGGACTGCGCTACGAGATGAGAGTGAAGTTGAGCGACGGTGGATTTGGTGACACGCCGTACAAGGGCCGTAGGACAGAATTGGCCTGGTCCCGACCACTTGGGTTCTGTAGGTCCCGGCCCCTCGGTTCGTCGTTAGCAGATTTGTATGTACATACAAAATTCCCATATATCTGCGACGAACTCCTTGCGGCCCGCATCTGCCGGATCCTGGACCCTTTCGTTTATCGTCAATCATTCCTTCTTGCTTTCCCCATTGTGATTCCGTCTTCTTTTCCCCTTTATTCCCATATGATTTGAGGTGAAGCAGGATAGAGCCTGGCCTCATCGACAGTCATGTCTGTCCCCAACAGAGGCCCTGAGCTTCAGGCTGTATGCTATACTCTTGCCGTTTCTTCGGTGATAGCAGTCGCACTACGTATCTATGTGCGCGTGCGCCTGGTCAAAAACTTTGGATTGGATGACTGGTTCATGTGTAGTGCTCTTGTAAGTCGCTCACCTCTCAACGACACCCCAAACATCAAATCACGACGACACATCAATTGATCAGACTATCAATACTCCATGCTTGACACAATAAATCTGTACACTCTAATGCCAACATATACTGACCACATTGGCTGCATAGATCACATTTCTCCTATTCGTCATGTCGGCCCTACTTGGTGTGAAGCACGGCACAGGTCGACATAGAGACGACCTCGACCCTCATGACTTTCAGCAAGCAATGAAATGGTGGTGGTGGTGCTACTTATGGTTAGATACCTCCAAATGTGCTTTGTTTACCAAGCTAACCATCCATACAGGTACTGCCTTACGATGATATCTTCAAAGATCTCAATTGGCTACCTACTCCTCCGAATCACGACACGAAAACTCGACGTATGGATCCTCTATGGCGTCATGGCCATAACTGTCTGCACCGGAGTCGTCTTCTTCTTCGTCACTCTCTTCCAATGCTCGCCGATCTCGTACTTCTGGAACCAAGATCAATCTGGAAAATGCGTCAAGCCTGAGGTCATTATGGCCCTCACTTATCTATACAGTGTGTTCAGTGTTATATCAGACTTCACTTGTGCTATTCTACCAATGTTCTTGGTGTTCAAGCTCAACATGGGAAGGAAGACGAAGCTGGCTCTGATTCCTATCATGGCTATGGCCTGCGTGTTGGTATACCCTCCTTATTACAAGAGACATGAGCTCACATCTTACAGGGCAAGCGCAGCTGTTGTCGTTCGATTCCCTTTCGTGAAAGATTTCAAGAACCCAGACTTCTTATGTAAGTCGCAACTCCAACTCCAACCCCAACTCCAAGCATGATGATGAATCACAACTGACAAACCCAAACAGGGGCAACAATCGACATCGCCATCTGGTCGACAACGGAACAAGGCCTGGCCGTCACGGCCGGGTCTTTGGCAACGCTGCGGCCTTTGCTTCGATTACTCGGCCGCAAGCTTGGCATAACGACATCGGGGCGGTCTGAATTGCGGGACACTGATCAGCCAATGGGCTCGGGGGGGTTCAGGCCTACAAAGGGTACCAACGGCAGCGGCAATAAGCATCGCGATCTTTTTAGCCTCGCCACATTCGCAAGGGAGGACGACCTGGACGGCAACGGGCGAGACGGCCAGGCAGCTTACGCTGGGGAGCACCATTTCCAGAGCAGATCGTCTGCTGAGAAGGGGGTCTCGGCGTGGAGGTCGAGGGACAATGAGAGCGAGGAGGAGTTGACGGGGCAGCTTGGGAATGACAATTCGCGGATCGTCAAGGTGACAACCTTTGAGGTTCGTGAGAACAGGATTTGAAAATCGTACCAGCAACTGGAACAATAATGACGGCCTTGATATTTACAACGAATAATAATACTACTTGCTTATAATTTAGAAAAAATATGTCGTTGTAAAATGAGGATGAAGGCTAGTTATTTAAGTATTTGGGCTTACATCCATGCCTTGCTACTACTTACCTACAACTGAATGCACAATAGTGCTAGTGACGTCAAGTCAATCAGATTCGGGCAGCTTATACGACGAAGCTAAGCTACAGTAAAGCTCCAGCTTAACTACTATAGGTAGTATGTATGCAGGCATGTACTTACTGTACAGGCTACATCTGCTGTTCATAAGCTATACCAAAATAAGCCGACTCACTTGCAACATCCATGGCCTGAGCAAACCCTCGAGCTTCTAAAATGCATCAATCATAAGCTCGCTTGTCCAAACAAACGCACCGCAACGTTTCACTGTCGCGATTGACCGCCAGATTTCGACCTGCAACTGAGCTCAGAATCTTGTTTTTACCAGACATCAAGCCCAATCGCCATGTGT